GTGGGCGGCTGGGTGTGTGATAACATGTTTAGTGGATGGGTGTGGTAATCACTGCTCCCAAATTTGTCCGCTCATACCGCATGGAAATGGGATCATTGGTAAGTAGTTAATCTGACGCACGCTGCATATTCTGGGCGCGTTTCTACGAGTTCGGCAATCTTGTTCTGTGGCGATGGAGGCATGTCCCAACATCTGCTGAATCACTCTAGAAAGAGATGAAGCTTTCTATGACCGCTGGCTAGCGTTGGTAAGCTCCTACATCAGGGTTAGCAGCAGAGGGCTCGGCTTTCCATTCTGATCCTGCCATAATGGCGAGACAAATGCGGCCTCCAAGACCGCACTTCATGGCTCACATATCACTATTAAAACGTCATTTTATCTTGATGACCTCAAAAATGGGGTAATGAACGTCTATTTATTGCATTCTATATAAGCTCACGGCATCAACCCCGACGCATGATTATGGTGCCTTGTAATGCATAGACCATGGCCAGCGCTCATGCAGTCAGCTTCAACATGAGACCTCTATTCATCCGCATTTAACTTGACGGAGTGCCCGGTCTCCAATCACCATGTTTGCAGACTCGGGTCGGCACGTCCGCTCTGGCGAAGGTCATGGCGTCGTTGTCGGCGCTCCGGGTGTTGTTGGGGTTCGGTGCCGCCGGCCACCGGCGACGGGGTCACTGGCCCGCCGGCGGACAGGTCGCCGTCGACGCGTCGCCCCCGCCGCATCGACACCGACGGAGCGGGAAGGCACGCCGCGGCCTGAGCTGCCAGCAGAGTTAGCCGCAGCGCCAGCCGGAAGGCGCGGTGCCGGACGCGGCCGTGTTGCGAGCGCCGAGTGATTCACGGCAACCCCTGGCGGCCGTCTTGTACCACGTCAGATGATGCACCCAACTGTCTGGGCTAGCGACGTGCGGAGTGGTTGGGCAGGTTGGACAGGAGCGCGGCTGAGGGAGGGGCCGAGGGTTCCGTTCTTCCCTTCCCCACAGGCTCGGATGCTTTACGTCTCATCCTGAAGGCCTCACTGTAGAAAGTAAGAAATCGGCGTGATGCAAGCTTACCGAGCTCCGGGCCCCTCCCTCAAGGGAATTCTGGCTGCATCCCTGCGGTTTGGGAACGGGTTTGAGAGACGTGGCCAGTATTCTATGGCAAAGCTACCACTTGGAACGCTTTCCACTTGCATCTAGTAAGCTTATGAGATGAAGGGCGTTCTGCTCCGCTTAAATTTTCTTCTTGCCATTGTTCGACAAATACATACACATTACGTAATGAACGGGCAAAATAGGCGCGGTTGTCGCCCCGTCATTAAACTGCGATGCGTGCTGTACTGTTCCCTTATGAAACTGTCCGAAAATCAGCAGTTATAACCTGCCAAATAAAACACAGACTCAACAAACGGCGTGTTATCTTTACGCCGCCAATTGGAGCCAAACACCGACTGACAGCAGTTCGTCCAGCGCCACTTATGGTGAACGTTTTCACTCCCTGGTGAGTGCTGGTTTCATGCTAGTCACCACTGACACATAACATATTGTATGCATTCATATTATACCACGGACATGTATAAGTACCACTGACATGCTGCCATGCTCAACTCAACCCTCCCTGATCTCCACATCTCAGCCTTTGGTCCAAGGCTGCAGAAGCCAACACAGCCTTTTGGACCACCGCGACCCCGTTCGGTTGACCCATCCGTCAGATGACAGCCAGGGTCACCGAGGGAGCCTTCGGCTGCGGGCCATGCAGTGCTATTCTGGTCTGATTGTGCACGCCTCCTGCAGCAGCCGAATCAGCCAGTCACTGGCGTCGGCAGCCGTCTCATCCGGCCGACGTTGTGTAGGATGCCGTCTGGCGTCCGGCACGACGGCAGCCGCCGCACCGCCGGAGCACGTGACCCGCCCGGCCTCCGCCCACAGCCCGACACTGGAGCACGTGACCCGCCCCGGACCCCGCCCACAGCCCGGACACTGGAGCACAGTGACCCGCCCCGCCCCCGGCGGCAGCCCGACACTGGAGCACGTGACCCGCCCCGGACCCCGCCCACAGCCCGACACTGGAGCACGTGACCCGCCCCGGACGCCGCCGGCAGCCCGACACTGGGGCACGTGACCCGCCCCGGACCCCGTCGGCAGCCCGACACTGGAGCACGAGACCCGCCCCGGACCCCGCCGGCAGCCCGACGCTGGAGCACGTGACCCGCCCCGGACCCGCCGGCAGCCCGACACTAGAGCACGAGACCCGCCCCGGACCCCGCCGGCAGCCCGACACTGGAGCACGTGACCCGCCCCGCCTCCGCCCACAGCCCGACACTGGAGCGCGTGACCCGCCCCGCCCCCGCCGGCAGCCCGACACTAGAGCACGTGACCCGCCCCGCCCCCGGCGGCAGCCCGACATTGGAGCACGCGACCCGCCCCGCCCCCGGCGGCAGCCCGACACTGGAGCACGAGACCCGCCCCGGACTCCGCCGGCAGCCCGACACTAGAGCACGTGCCTCGCCTCGGTCCCGGCCGCAGCCTGACATTGGAGCACGTGACCCGCCCCGCCCCCGGCGGCATCCCGACACGAGCACGTGACCCGTCCGGCCCTCGGCCGCAGCCTGACAGTGGAGCACGTGACCCGCCCCCGCCCCAGCCGTTTAGCGGACTGGCTGGGTGTCCAGGCCGGAGTGGTTCAAAGTGGTGACTTCAGGCTAGTCATGGAATGGGATCACGACTCTGTCTTCATTGTCCAATGTTTTTATTATCGTTCATAACTATGTCCAGAGGTCTGGACATGTCCGTTGCAGAGGTCTGCGGCCTGTCTGAGAACTGCAGATTGTGCTGGCGGTGGTACTAACTTGAGGCCGTGTTTTGGTAATGCGGCGCTAAATGGCGCGTGGCGCGCTGAGCGTGTGCATATTAGGGCGCGGGCCCGGAGACAACCTTTGAACTGAGGTGGTCTCTGAGATGAACCGACAACTGAGCCGCGATCATCTCCGCAGCTGCCAGCGTTTTAAAGGTGACGCTCAAATTAGCAATCAGTCGCCCACAAAGATACGCTGAAGGAAATGCGTTGAATCGGCAAAATAGTCATGCTTTCCAACTGAGTCGGCTCTATGATACAGTTCTATGATACGTGTACTAGTTCTCTTTTGCTGACGTCGGAACACCGGACCATGTCTAATGAGCTGGCCAGCAAAACACCATGCTCATTTCACGCCCTGTCACTCGCGTTCACACCTCTCCACGGCAGGGCGCCTGAGCCGAGGTGTGAACGTCGTATGGCACGGTGCCCACCGCCGGAACGGGGGGCGGCGCTGGGACCACCCCCGGGCCATCAGTCTCAGGGGCCTCGGACGCGCCGGCTGACAGGGCTGAGCTTGGCAGCGCCTCTAACTACCGGGTGTCGACCTGACCTGTTGGCCTGCCGGCCAAACAACAGCGCCGACGTCTCGTCGGTCAGCGGACGCGGCCGGGCTGCAGGCCCCACGTCTCGGCGGGCGGTCCCAGCGCGGTAACTCACCGTCACCGACGGCCCGAGGCGGGCAGCAGCGCCGACCCACGCGTCCGCCCGACTGGGATCTCGTGTCTACAGAGCTACGCATCTGGGGTTTAAGACCAAGTGTTCACTTGAAAGAAGTCCACTGGTCGATGCAGTGTCTCATTGCGTCATTGACAGGTCTGTTCCCAGCCTCGCAGCCTGTTAGCCAACTCAATTTCTCCGATGCTCATGCGCCCCAAGCGTGCGAGCATGTTATCCTTTCGGCGATCGACAACTCTGCACGAAGCCTATCGGGCCTGTGGCACGATTTCATTTGCGGTGTTCACATGACGCCTTGGCCCGCCACGCCGGGAACAGACGTCGCCGCGCCCGATTCGCGGCACTCCGAAACTTTCAAAGACGTCAGCGGCGGGCGTAGCTATGGCGGCTTGAGGTGAGTGTTTTTCCAGCCAAAGCATAAAAACTACAGGTCGTCCCTCCTGAGGCTCCGACCGGTCTTTCAATGGGTGCATCTTTCTGCTTCTTTTTGCCATCTTCCACTGGTGGCTGGTCTTTTGCCCTCCGGCCAGGGCTGCCGTTGTCCCTTTTTGTTTCTGGTCTGGAAGGAAGCTTTGCCTACTTTTCACACCTGTTGTTCTTTCACTTGTTTATCTTTTCCGTTACCAAGAGCCGTTTGGCGTTCATCTCTGGCTTCCGGATTCTATTGTTTCGTCTGCGGACTCGGGTTCTCCATCTGTTCTTTTTACCTCTACACATTACCACTTCCCGTCAGTGTCGTCTCCTCTCGCTGACGCCCCCGCCTGACCATGGATCCTTCCTCCAGCCCGGTCCACCGGCCTGCCTGCCAGTGACGGGCCTGTCGCTGCCGGCGTCACTCCGACGTTGTCCGGCCCTGGCGAGCCAGCGGTACCCTGTATATGCCTAATCTTTCCTGGCCGACCGCACTCTGACATTGTCCGGTCAAACCGGCCCCAGTGGCAGTGCTCTGGCCGGGTCTGTCCCGCCCGACGATGCTTTGACCGTGTCTGTCGCGCATGACGGTGCCCTGGCCGTATCTGTCCCGGCCGGTGGTGCTCTGACCGCGCCTGCCCCGGCCGACGGTGCTCTGCCCGTACCTGGACTGTCCCGGCCGGTGGTGCTCTGACCGTACCTGGACTGCCCCGGCCGGCGGTGCTCTGACCGTGCCTGTCCCGGCCGGCGGTGCTCTGACCGTGCTTGTCCCGGCCGGTGGTGCTCTGACCGTGCCTGTCCCGCCCGGCGGTGCTCTGACCGTGTCTGCCCCGGCCGGCGGTGCTCTGACCGTGCCTGTGTTCTAACCGCGTCTGTCCCGCCCGACAGTGCTCTGACCGTGCTTATTCCGGCCGGCGGTGCTCTGACCGTGCCTGTCCCGGCCGGTGGTGCTCTGACCGTGCCTGTCCCGGCCGGTGGTGCTCTGACCGTTCCTGTCCCGGCCGGTGGTGCTCTAACCGTGCGGCCGGCCGGCTCTCTCTCCGCCGCCAGTCCGCCGCCGCGCCCGGCGCCGTGCCCACGTGCCAAGCGGTGCTGCCGCTCGGCCTTGCCATGGCCCGCCGCTGGCTGCTGCTGGTCAGCCTCGCAGCGGGGCTGCTGGCCGCCGCTGCCGGCAAGCGTGTGCCCTGGTGGAGCATCCGGATCGCCCAGCAGCAGGGGTGAGAGCTGGACACCGCCGGTGGCGAGCTGCCGGCGCTGGAGCCGCTCCAGCCGTCAGTCCGGCCGGCAGCCACCGGCGGGGTGCCCCGGAGCGGTGGCAGAGGCTGGGAATGGGTTTTGTATCGAGTATGCGTCTGCCCTGCTTTGTGGCGTGTCAAGTTATTTCGTGGCATCGCCCTTGTTTTGAATGCGTAGTTTGTGAAAACCGCGTTTTGGACTGCATGTAACCCGAGATTGGAGGCAGGAAATATGGTAACTGGGTTTATCGATGAGAGAAGGACCTAGCCCACACAATACGCGCATGTCTCAATGGATGCAGCTTGTGCGTCCGTGGCTGATAATACATCAGCTGTTAATGAAGAACCGGGACTGTGGCTTAGTTATATGCAGCATGCATACACAGAATGAGGGCGATCGTGGCGATCCGTCCCTGCGTCTGATTGGACAGTAGCGTGCTGCGCCTGCCTAACCTCAGCGGTTATCTCTGGGCATGAATAATAAAGCCGTTTCCAATTTGTCTTTTATGCACGAGACCCCAGTTACGTGGCCGACGCTGGAATACATAAGTGGCCAGATCATTACTAGCGGGATCTCATTTCCGTTCACCTGCGCACCAAAATGATCCTAATAATTCACAGGTTCATTGACCACAATGTCGCATGTGAAATTATCAACATTGCATTCATTTTGACGTCATGAATTGTGGCACTTATGATTCTGTATTTAACATGTGCGCAATATGGTTCTCAACTCATATATCACAGGGAGAAACCATCCAGAGAAGTAATGCAGGTAAGCATGCAGCAAAGCTGATTGGTCGCTGACCCATTAAGCAGCCTTGGCACTAAGCAAAGATGAACTTGGCACAGTGCCTCGTCCGGGGTGAGAGTTCATCGGATTGGACGGGCGGTGACGCGGCATGGTATCACTAGGCCATCACAAGCCGGCATCAAAGGCACGCGCAGGACATGGCCCGGGCTGGGGCACAGTCAGCACCACGTTTAAACAAATGTCAGCTGAATGTAGGTCGTCCAAACTCGATGATCATAATGATCATTTGTGTTTATTGGCGCGTGGGGCTCGACGATCGGTGTCAATGCTCAATGTCGACAGTCAATACTGCCGGCTGCCGTTCCGGCTGCGCGGCTCAGGCTATGCTGCCAACCTCCGTTCCGACTGCCTGGCTCAGGCTGCACTGCCGGTTTCCGTTCCGGTCACGTGGCTCAGGCTTCACTGCTAACTCCCGTTCCGACCGCCCGGCTCAGGCTATACTGCCAACTCCCGTTCCGACTGTCCGGCTCAGGCTGCAGTGCCAACTCCCGTTCCGACTGCGTGGCTCAGGCTATACTGCCAACTCCCGTTCCGACTGCGTGGCTCAGGCTACACTGTCAACTCCCGTTCCGACTGCGTGGCTCAGGCTGCGCTGCCAACTCCCGTTCCAATTGTGTGGCTCAGGCTACAAATGCCAACTCCCGTTCTGACTACGTGGCTCAGGCTGCGTCACTGCGTCACTGTGAGACCCATGCAATGGGCTATCAAAAGAGCTCACTGGCCGTGGGCTTCAACGCCAGTTGATAATAAAGGATAATGCTCATGTTTAAAGATTATATTTTACGTTGATAACATTAAGACTGCTGTATACATAGAACAAACACACACACACACACACACACACACACACACACACACACACACACACACACACACACACACACACACACACACACACATGCACACACACACACACACATGCTGTGTGTGTGTCTGTGTGTGTGTAAACGAGCACCCAAACTGCCTTTGCTCAACGATGTGGCCCGGGATTTTCGCATGCGTCACGTAGCAGACGATTGGCGGCCCGACCACCTCGATCGTCCTCCGGTGGCATTGGTGACCGGTGGCTGTGACCAGACCACAGGTCCGCTGCCTGGCACGCCTCAGGGCGATCGGACAATGACACCTCCGGAGCACACTGCCGGCGGCGCGCGGCCCCGGTCATATTGGCTCCGTGCCAACAGATTAGGGGCCGGACAACTCTTTTGAAGAGGTACTGACCCAGACACAGCTTTCGTGAGAGCTTGCTAGTAAATTAGAGGTTTGATCTTGTCAGCACTGTTCTCAGAACTGTTTCCTGGAACTGAAAGTTTTATCAGGACTACCTCGCCTGAACCAACGTTATTCCACGATAACTTAACAGCCACGGCTCCTCCCGTGTGGCGAGATGCCACCCGCCATCAGTCATGATATCTTGCTCTTCGATGACTGTGGACTCCCAGGACTTATCCCTGCTCTTGTGGGCTGCATCGCCCGTCGTCGCAAACTTATCGAAATGCCTCAAATGATAAATATTGCTGCTTTTAAAATGATACAATAAAGCACTGTACGTGATTCTGGCTGGACTGGACTGGCACGTAAAGTTCTCCGCGACGCCTCCTACTATCTGTATAAATATAGTCACCCTGGTGGCTATTCTCAATAGTAAACGAGCTATGTTATCATTTTACATAAACACATGCATGTTTCACTGATACAATAAATCATTCAAATTCTTGAACATCACCTACATCATTCAAACGAATGCTTGCATGAGGGTAGCGATATTTGAACTTTTCCCAAAAGTGAAGTTCTTGCCCCTTACGTGGGGAGATATTATCCAAAGTTTATGGAAATGCGCATCCTCTATCTACCGCTCCACTTCACACATCCCATTTTCTTCTTGAACGCTACAGTCTCGGGCGAAAGTGGGTTGGGTCTAATTTCTAGAGGCAACCGGCGGCGCTTCACCTGTCTGCGATAGCGCCAGATCGTTTGGCGGCATGGCCAGCTTGAGCAGTAGCATATGCGCCACCATTCCATCCTCGCGCAGACCCGTGGACGCCTGACGCGCCGTGTGGCTCAGGTGGTGTGACTGTGCCGTGTTCGACGTGGCTCAGGTGGTGTGACTGTACCGTGTTCGACGTGCCTCAGGTGGTGTGACTGTACCGTGTTCGACGTGCCTCAGGTGGTGTGACTGTGCCGTGTTCGACGTACCTCAGCTGGTGTGACTGCCGTGTTCGACTCGGCTCAGGTGGCAGGCTGCAGCAGGCTAACGATAAGCTCGGCTGTCTTGGCCAGGAGCTGCTGCTCTCTGAGCGCTCTGGCAACAAGCGCAGCGAGGTGGCCGTGGTGGCGGCTTGTCGAGTATCAGTGTATCGACTACTAGTGTCGAGTATCGGGGCAACTTTTGCCCGTGGAGATTACGAGAAACACGAACGACGACGGTGGGCACCTTTATTTTCGAACGCGTGCTGGAGTTCACAAAAACCCAGTGAACAAGTGTAACGGCAAATCTGAAATGCTTTCATTATCAAGGCATATTCGCTTCTTCACATATCTCCTGTCTAAAGTGAATGCGAACACGTTGGATGCTCTAGCGCGTTCCATAACACAGGCTGATGGTTGCCGAGCACATCCCGAGTTGACTCTCTTCATAAATTACGGGTCGGTAGAGAGACCTGGTTCACTGAGGCTGGTGATGTTCAACAACATCAAGTCAGGACCACCTTGTCTTACTGACTTTGATGTCCACCTACATCAGACCGGAAGCAGTGCAGTTTCATGACTCAATGAATCTCAAATGCATCATGTTTCTTTTATCAAGAAATGTGGCCGCATGAATTGCTTGATGGGGTGGTCAGATTATCAGGTCAGGTTCCTCGTTAAGCATAGGCTGGTGCGTGGACGTCGACCCCCGTCACCCAAGTGGTCTGAATTTTGAGACAACTTTGTTCCAGGCTGGTAGCCAATCGGTCTTGGGGATTTTTACCATGTCTTGGAATGTCATGACATGATCGCTCTGCGACAAGGTTTCCCTTTCTTATCGGGAAATGCCGTGTGGCGAAGTCGGCGCTCAAACCACTGAAGCCCCTGGGCAGGCATTTCTGCCAGGAATGGAGTGCACTCATCGCCTCGTGAGTAGCACTTGGATGCTGCGCAGGGGTGTAGTTCCCAATTAAGTTGCGGAAGGGCATCAGTCCCCCAACTTGGGATCTGTCCCCCCAACTTTGGGAAGAAAGTGGATACAATCTGGTGAGAAACCTGTTAGTTGGCAAAATGTGGGGGCATACTGATCTATTTTTCATTGCTCAGCACCCCCGCCCCCTCCCCCCCCCCAACTAATTTACGAGAGGTGTGCCCCAGGACCCATGCACAGGGTCATTTGACGACTCCCTGATGCTGATGTCAACCCGTGTCACCCCCCAGGTCTGCCTGTCTCCAGTTTGGAGGAGCGCCCCTTCCTTGGCGATTCTGTTGTAGGCCAAAAGAATGCCAGGCGCCCGAGCAGACGCCAACCAGGGAACTACCACAGACACTTCCGCGTGTCCGTCACTGTCGCTGTCGCTTGTAGTCATTGGAAAGGCCGGTTGTCGCGCCGGAATGGGAGCCTCTACCGGAGCCTGATAGATTTCCCAGGCTACAAAACCAGTTTTTAAGTGGTGTTCGAACAGGAGCTCGTAGAAGTCATCCGACGAGATGTTCTTAATGTCGTTGGCCAGCCGGAGCGCGGAGAAGGGCAGGTCCGAGCGGTCCAGCAGCTGCTCGTTCCTAGAGACCACGTTGTCAGCCGTCCAGCCGCCGCTTATAGTGGAGAGGATTTGAGTGAAGCCGCCAATGGTCATGCGGCAGCGCAGACGAAGCGTCTCGCCACTGACGGCGCCGAAGTAGATGCCGTCCTCGCTAGCGCCAAGTTGCATCAGCTGGCGGCAGGTAAGCGTGCGCCGGTCGGTACAGATGCGGCCCCGGCACCGGTCCCCCTCCTGCAGACAGTCGGAGTCGGTGCGGCAGAACTCCTCGTGCCCGGACCGCCTGGGCATCACGAAGTACTCGAAGCGGTCGCCGCGGGGCAAGATGCGGTCGTACCGGGCGACCGAGTCGAAGAGCAAGCAGAGTTGGATGTCGGCTCTGAAGGCGAGGCTGGCACAGTCGGCGCGCGCGTGACACTCGGCACAGCACTGGCAGCTGCTGGCCGTGAGCTGCAGCATTGCCAGCGGGACCATCCGGGGGTGTACGTCTGCCAGAGCTGTGGTCGCACAGCCCAGGACGGCGCGCGACAGCAGCGGCGGCAGCAGCAGCAGCAGCAGCAGCAGCAGCAGCGGCGGCCAGAGCCTGCCCGCCGCGGCCCTCGCGGACCCGGCCATCCCGGCGGTGCGACGGATGGGCGAGGAGTGGCGCGTGCTGAGGGCAGCAGCCGGCAGCGCGGGAGCAGGTCGGTCGGACACCCGCGGCTCACGGCCAGTAGTGACAGACACGCCGCCACCAGTTCAGCTGCAGTGCGGCAGCAATTAACACGGGTCAGGACTGACCGCCAGCCAGGCTCGTTATGCGGCCGGCCTACTTTTGGGGCATTGCGGCAGCATAACGGAGGCTTCATTAATAGTGCACGTGAATGTATGACCATAAAGAGTGCTGCTTACAAGGCTGCGTGTAAGGCAATAAGCGACGGATGTCATGGAAATGTTACAGCTGTACTGATCGGCCTCTTGCCTGTGCTTGGTGAGGAATATTAGAAGTCGCGCTGATGTACTTTGGGATTGTCTAAACTTAATACCAATTTGTTATCGACTCTTCGGAGCTGGTGAAGATAAGATGTATAGAGCGATGTTTGTAATCCGCTGCCAAAGTTCAAAGTCTAGCATTTAAGAGTTGAATAATGATCAGAGTTGACTCATTAATGCAGAGTTGAAATGTCCTTGCATGTGTTGCTGTTATACTGAGAATTATGAAGCTGTTCTGACAGCGTCAGTTTGTTAACTTAGTACTATCCGCTTGAAGTCCTCGCGACCATATGATTAAGTCATTAGCCGGACGTAATCACTGACGCACTGAGCTTCGCCTTTCGATGCTACCGCAAGCTATCGGCAGCAATAAGGTAGAAATAAGCAAGCGTCTAGATGTCAGGTGGCAACTGATAACACCTCATACTGCATGGCCGAAGAATGCTATGTCACCGAGCGTGGACCGATATGGATGACTACGGAAAATGCATTCATGTTCAGTGGCTTCCTTCCGGTGCAGTGACCTCAGGATGAACACAACAACCTCAGTGCGTCGTCTTCTCTAAATTTATGAAGTTACTTGTTCAGACCATTATGAGCTAGCGCCTTTGCTGGCGTACTTGACATTTTGCGCCAGTTATATCGCTTCTTTATGATATATTATCTGCCGTTTACTAATTTACTATGTTTACCATTATATTATTTTTATTATCACTTTTGTCGCCTTTTTTACGTCATTTCGTAGCAGCTATATTGACATTATGAGTACGCCGGCATACGTGTTGTTTTACTTCAGCTGCCACCCGCCGTTGCCGTGCTCGACGTGCGCGACTCCCGTCCTCTCCTACCGTTGCCGTGCTCGGCGTGCGCGACTCCCGTCCTCTCCTACCGTTGCCGTGTTTGGCGTGCGCGACTCCCGCACTCCCCTGCCGTTGCCGTGCTCGGCGTGCGCGACTCCCGTCCTCTCCTGCCGTTACCGTATTTGGCTTGTGCGACTCCCGCCGTCTCTTGCCGTTCCGTTCTCGTGACGCCGGGTTTCCAGCCCTACGCGACGTTCAATGCCCAACAGCCACCCAGCCGTCTCCGCTGGCAGCAGGAGAGACAGCGAGATCGCGTCATGTGACGATGGCCGGGTTTGCGGGACAGTGCTGGCTGGGGCTACTCGCAGAACTTCCCTTGGGCGGCCGTGTCGTTTGTCGGATGGAGTACTCCCGACATACCGGCAGACCCAAATGTCCGAGAGAAAAATTGGCTTGAGTGAATTAGTTCTCAACGCGTGAATGCTTGCCTGCATTATTTCCGTGCTCAGTTATCCCAGTCTTCAAGTATGTCATTACCATAACCTGTGATGTCATTGTTTGTGTTTGTAACCAAAGTCCTCTAACAGAGCAACTGCCGCCGGGAGCTGATTTAACACCAGCAAATGGCGCACGGAGCAATGATCTTGGCTCCGCTCACGGGTACTGTCGGCACCCCCGCTGGGTGAGGAACCGGCGCGGTACCCCCAGCGCCCGGGGAGGGGGGGGGGGTAAGCCGTGAGCCCCTCCCCACGATGTTTGGGGCGACTGGTGGCGATGTTGGTAACGATTCCCCTGTGGAAACGTACTATAATCACCTAGGGCAATCATCTGGAGAAAAAGCCCAGCGTTGTGCATGATTGCACGCCGGTGGACGCGGTCGCATGACAGCACAGTGTTCTTATCAGGCGAAGTGGAACGTCGCTCCGGAGATTAGAAGTGCCCCGCAAACAACGCTCTATGAAGATTAGCTTGTAATATGCCTAGGGGTCAATACGGCTGCTTGAACAACAACGCACCACCCAAGTCAACGAGGGTAAAATGGCACTGGGTCGCAGCATAATTGTGTTTTGGTCGGACGAATGAGCTTTTCGCATCCAATTAATCGCAGGAAGCTCGTCGTTGCTTTGTTCCGTGCTAGACTAGGACGCCGGTCTGCAAAGCCCTACCAGCACTCTTGTGGAGCGATCACCGTGTTTTAAGGGCATTGGCGGGTGAAGAAGCTGCCACGCACCCCGTTCCCGAAGCTCGCAAAGGGGTTTTGACTTTTCTGCCAAGAATAGGAATCTGAACTTGCGTCAGCGCAGTGCACACAAAACTTGGCAGCGGCGGTTTTGGAGCATTAACTACCCACAACCTGAGGTTGGTGAGCTTTCTGATGCATAAACATTGAACAGCATCAGAGGGCCGCCGACTCATCCCACCAATGAAAATAAATGGTCAGCTCTGCATGGCTATAATCAATCGTTATGGGGCTGTAAAGAGCCCCTAGCACGTCCAGGGCTGCACCATCCCCGGCGCGCGGAGACATAACAAGTCGTGGTTACGGTGGACAGCCAGCCTGCTCCGCACTTACAACTTCGGGTGCTCTCTGCACCATGCAGTTTGTCGTGTCCATTGTCCATGTCTGCGCCATTGCAGTCTGTCGTGTCCATGCAACCTTTGGTGGGACCCGTTTCTTGCAAGCCGTATGACGTCCGCAATTTTCATATCCAGTTCGATCTAACTAGTGCCTACAGGCGAGCCGAGTCGGATGATTAGAATGACTTTGAATCTATAGAAGTAACTATCTTTAGGGTCGCGCGAAATGCGTGTTTGGTTTCGGATCGTGCCGGCGAAAGTTGTGCTCAAGAATGATGCGTGGAAGAAGTCAAGAAATAACTATATTAATAGAAAAAGGCTGCGTACAATAAGAAAGATACCAATCAACCCCATCCCATTAACGCGTTATCCGAAATTGGATAGATCATACCGATTGCTTGCAAGACCAATTTAAGTTCATTGGGAGCACGCCGTCAAATGCAGCGAAGCATGGATCGAGTGACACTGCATGCCCCACGTGGTTAGATACCTCACTCAGCAGTGCGATCAACCAGCAAAAACAGCTGCCACTGAAACACCCTCATGGAGCTTGGTGCACAGTCTGATAGCAATGGTCCTGTCTGGAGGTCTGTTGCAGTGTCTAGTAGCAGTGGTTTTGTCTGGAGGTCTGTTGCAGGACAGTGTCTGAAAGCATTGGATCTGTCTGGAGGTCTGTTGCAGGACAGTATCTGATAGCAGTGGTTCTGTATGGCTGGCTGTTGTAGGACGGTGTGAGATAGCATTGGTTCTGTCTGGAGGTCTGTCGCAGGACAGTATCCGATAGCAGTGGTTCTGTATGGCTGGCTGTTGTAGGACGGTGTCAGATAGCATTGGTTCTGTCTGAAGGTCTGTTGCAGGACAGTATCTGATAGCAGTGGTTCTGTATGGCTGGCTGTTGTAGGACGGTGTGGGATAGCATTGGTTTGGTCTGGAGGTCTGTTGCAGGATAAAATCTAATAGCAGTGGCTCTGCCTGGAGGTCTATTGCAGGACAGTATCTGATGCCTTGTTCCGGCCTTGCCCGGGGAACTCGCTGACAGGTGTTCTCTGCGGTACTCCTGTATCCTCTGGCGCGTTATGTCTGAATGACTGATTGTGTAAATTTGAACAAAAACCAACAAACATGGGAATTCCTTACCACCAGGCGTCAAAGCAACATCTCTCACATAACGGGTGACGTCACAGGCCACGTTAAATGTTACAAAACATCCCTAGGATCTTTTGAAGACTTCGGGACCTTACAACACCCATAATAACATTAAAGCTTTGCATGAAACTTAACAAAAAACCTTCTTGAGTGTCACCCATGCATCATAATGTTACCAACCAAAAATGAAGCTTCGAGACAATTAACATTCAAACTTATGTCAGGTCAAGGTTCAGGTTCGGTTCAGATCAAGGTCACGTAAACGTCACGTCACTGGCCATGACCGTTCGTATTTGAGACACAAATGGATGGCGCGAGTTAGTTGGATTTAGCACTTCTCAGGAGGTATGACTTGATTTCTGAGTCGATTAGTTGATTGGCAATGAGGCTTCTCATAGGCATAGATGCAGGCAGCTATGCTAACCTTTACCAGTGACTCTTTTCACACCCCAATCTTTACAGATGACACTTCACTAAGTCACTAATGACTCTATGACCTGACCTAGTATCAACATATGAGTTACTAATGACTCTGTGGTCTAACCTAGTACCCAGATATTTTTGTCAGAAGTGCGAAATTTGTGATCTGACCGTTACCGAACGTGTAGCGGGTCTGCCTGAAACGGTTCTGTGGTTTCACTCTGGTTCTGGGCTGTCCGAGTGACCGATTCTCTTCAAAGGCTCCCAGCCGATCGTGGGGCATGTTTGGTTGAGTACCGCAAACATTCACCACCGTGCGGTTGGACGAGCGGGGTATAGCTGACCTCCGACCCTCCCCACGGACTCGGGCTGACCTCTGACCCTCCCACAGACCGCACGCCTGCGTCGTGGAGCAGGTGCCCGGCACCTACATGGAGCTCTGGACGGAGTGCCGCTACTGGATGCACCGCAAAATATGCGGCCAAAAGACGTGAGCAAAGCACCGGCTACCTTTCCATGGCTGGTGCAATTCAAGCTATGTCTCTGACCTGGCTAAAGCGCCTCGAGATTAGTGATTACATGTGACATCAATATTAGTGAATGAGTAGCTACTGCCATCAGAAAAGCAGCGTGTAAGGAATTTATGCTGCCCACGAAGGCCTATTCGTCAGGAATTCTCTCAGTGCATGCCATATACAGATATAATATAGGTAACAATCGTGAGTCAAACGCGCACGCAATTCTTTCTAACAATGTGTGTATGCGTCTTATCGATGAGCATAATTATGCACACATTGTTTTCGCATCGTCTGAATAGAACTGGAAAGAAACATAGTATTGCAAGCTGTTGTGTAATTCTGGCCACTTTACGAGTTGCAGGCTGATTCGTTACGAGTGTTGCGAGGGGTACCAACAGCTTGGGGAGGACAGCGGTTGTACCGCCGTCAAACCTCTCAAGAATTTATTGGAAACGGCAGAAGACCTTGGAGCCGGCCGGTGAGTTTAAATCTGCTGTGGGCTGTTCCTCTGAAGCACTACGCTTCAACATAAAAACATATTTCAAAACTATGACCACTTTTCATTGATGTAACTATGCGGTATCCACGGAGTAATTTTGATCGAAAAGATCTTACTTTGAACTAGAATTAGCACGTCAAAAAACACGGATATCCCGTGAATCGTTTGCAAAGGCCCTGCGTTTCTTCTAAAGCATAAGCGTTAAGCTCTGTGGCAGTGCGGCATCACGCTTTATTGCGCCACCGGGTGCCGGTGATGGGGTCCCACGGCATGTTTTCCGCCGGCGCTGGCAGCGGTCGTCCCAGCCTGGCTGAGGCGCCTGGTTCGGTCGGCGCTGTCCACCAACCAGTCTGGGCCCGGCCACCGGGAGGGATGAGCTGGTGCACCGTGGAGTCCGGCGCTGCGTCAGCACGTGCGGTCACGAGCTAGGCAAATACGTGCCATAACAATGGCGCCATTTGTCGTCGGCTCATGCATCAGAACCGCCGCCGTGGCAGAGCCCGTCCTCAGCCTACCATACTTGGCCAGGCGCGCGGCGGTCTGGGTCGGCATTGGCAGTGGTCTCAGCCGGGCTGAGGCGGTGCGCTCGGTCAGCGCTATCTGCAATTGTTCTCAGAGCCGCCTCCCGGGCGATGGAACCCTTTGTCGCGTGCGCTCGGGATCTGCCGCGTGCCGCAGAGTTGGCACTGGAGGCATTCGTGTTCAGGAGGTTTCTGTCGCAGGTTCGTTGCTGCGATCCGAGGCTCAGGTCTGGCGGAGGAGCTAGGAAAGGGCGGCACGTTCACTTTGTTCGCGCCGACCGACAGTGCGTTTGAGGTAAGACGCTATTTTTAGGCCACGCAGTCAGACATAAATGCTTGACACCGCTTCGGATAGTTTGGGGAGCTACATGGCCATGTAAGGCATTTGCTGTGTCATCCATCACAAAGAGATGAAATGCATCACATCAGCATATCGTAAGCTTCTTATCTTCAAGCCCTCTGAGCGAAGCAATCGTCTTCCAAACAAATGATCTTATGCAGCGAGCAAACGTCAAGAGCTGCATGGAGTACCATCACACACTTGTTAGGAAGGAACGTTCCGCTAACGTCCAGAGCTCGAACACTGGAGATCGCTACCCAAAGTGCAGAAAGGGGAGGAAGAATATTCTTGGATCGAAAATGTCTAATATCCGCCGCATTCCTAGCGTTAACATTTCAAGATCCAGATGGGGGCCCGATCCCAAATATCTAGGATCTGCAGCTACGCGCAGTTTTCCTTCCAATGGTTGCAGGTCGCGAAGAATAGGTGCAAACATTACTAACCGTATCATTTCGCTAGGATAACTCGCCCTCCGTGTTCCTCCCGCCGTGCTTCCCGTGGGCTCCGTCTACCACATTACTCGAATCGCGCTGCTCGGATGGAGACAGAAGATACCAGGCACGGTTTAATACTTTACAACACGCTTTGTAACAGCATAGCATCTGGTGTTAGCATCATAACATCATTTTGCCGTAGCATCCAGTGCTTGTCTGTCTCGTATCCTTCGATGTAAACCCAAATCACGGAAAGCCGCAAGAACACACACGAAAGACAAAATATTGATATTGGCGGAAATCTGAGTCTCGGGCCCGATTTATTTGATGAAGCTCCACCTATATCTGGAGTCGCACACCTGTGACACGTCATCTGGTGGCGGACGTCTTCGCCGTCCTTTTTAAAAGATTAAATCATGCCTATCCCATGGTAACCTCTCTTCCGACTGTTATGCTGCGACGATGAAACGAAACTTTCCGGCACGATTTTCCTTCCATCGCCACAATTCCGTTACAACAATTATAAATACGGTGCGTGTACAATCACAGTGTTTAGCCGGCAGAACTAGAGGTGGGACAGCCCTCTCCAACTCCTTGGAGTACTGGCGTTCAGGTCGGCGCCAGGTCAGTGCTTGCCCAGCTAAAAACATCATGTATGCTTCGCAGCTGTTGGTGCGGCGTATGCGGATGGGCTGGAATCTGCAGTCGTTGTACTCGTGCCAGACCCCCCAACAGGGGTGTTTACAGTGGGCCGTGTAGAGGTCCGAGTGCGCCACGCCGGAACGCTGTGTCACGCTGGACAGCTTGTAAATCCCGGCTCCCGATACGGAGTACGACGGCAAGTCCAGACCACTGGCGGAGCAGTCCACAGTGGTATTGAGCTTGTGCCCGTTCTAATCCAGCTGCAGCAGGGACCGTTTCAAGTGCACTTCAAGGATGCGTGAGAACCTCTGAATCTTAAGGTTCTTTTAGCACTTCTTACGCTTCTGGGACTCAGCGTTCTGTGCAGTTTGCCAGCAACTTACGAATACCGCCGGCTTAACTTGGCACGCACGGCGATGTCGCGAGCATGAAGCTGTCCCACTCGTTGGCGCGGCTTCAGTAGAGTGGCCGGTGTCCTGCTCCTGACACCACCAGCGGCTACCTCCCGTCTGGCACCACGCAATCATGAGACCCTCACGATTGCGTCTTGACACCATTGGCTGTGCCTCCAGCGGATGCCGGCCAGTTTGCGGGAGGCCCTGCAGGCGGGCGGCGCCGGCAACGCGGTGCTGCTGTACCATCTGCTGGACGGCAAGCTGACCTCGAGGGAGATGCGGGCTGACCAGCTGGTGCCCACCAGGAGCGCAGGCCATAGAATCCGGCTCAACAAGTACTCCAACCAGGTCAGCCGCGCCTGGTTACGGCGGACCTTACACCTAGCGAGTACGATATTGCAAAACAAAAAAGGGATTGCACAATCGGCATGCGGTTACGTGCATGAGCTATCTTCGATAGAGGTCGCAGATAGCCATCCATAGCATAGCAGATAGCCATCCATCCATAGAATACGACGTTATCAGACTGCACGTGTAATCATATTCATTAGCTTAGCAGTAGTAGCAGCTTTTCCATTCCAGGTAGGTGTCATTGCCAACTTTAGGCCTCTACCGTTGGAATATGGTGCAGGGAATGTGTACTTTGCCGGCACGTTTTCTTGCTGGTTGACTCTCCTAATCATCCGGGTCGTCTTTCAACAACATGCATCAGACGAAGCACGACCGTCCAGGTCGTGCTTCGCCTGTTGTATTTTGTTCAACCTAGTTTAAAACCTCACGGAGGGAGAGAGAAAGAGAGAGAGAGAGAGAGAGAGAGAGAGAGAGAGAGAGGAGAGAGAGAGAGAGAGAGAGAGAGAGAAGAGAGAGAGAGAGAGAGAGAGAGAGAGAGAGAGAGAGAGGGGAGAGAGAGGGGGGGGGGAGAAGGAGAGGGAGGGGAATGTTGAGCCATGATCCAGTTTGTAAATGCCATCAGCACACGTACCTGCATCAGGTATTCTTGTGCGCAGCCAAACCTTCAATTCTGCCGCTAATAGCCACCAGCTGTTCAACATTCTTTGATCATACAACATTTATTCTATTTATGCGCAGCCTAAAGGTTTCCTCGTCCTTTTTTGTCCAAATGTCCCCTGGTTTTACCGCTCAGACGCGGTCTCTTGTAGCCTGAGCGGCAAAAATGGCGTGGTTCGTCGCAAAGTACTGGAATTTGTGCGACAAAATCATCATTGTAACACCGATTTTGTCAGAGAATGTTCGATGCGATATCGCTTGTGAGGTCTCCATCACCCACCGTCGCTCGGCCTACGGCCTACTGAGTGCGTAATCAATATGGAATTTTTCGGCTTTAGGGCAAACTAGTGGCGTTCTTACCGATAAAACAGCGTACACTCAATAACACGTCACTCAACATGAGCAGTCAAAACGCATGACAATGCAATGACTATTGTTACATAACAATTTCATATGCTCACATATTGACAACCTAAGGAAGCGAGTACGCTGCAGAGGTGCTCGAACTGTCGAGTGTTTTGCGCTGTGCCGATGCAGCGTTATGGGTTAAATAAAAGGTGCAAATGTTACAATAACTTCAGTATTCACCATTCTGTTTGTTAACTTGAACAGCTGTATTTGTAATCACCGTTTCTGTCTTTATCTGGTGGAAATGAAGTCGCACAACTTTTGGGGCGTGCCTGATCTCATTAGACGCTGACGGAGCATGACACATTACATTTACACCGACGTTTGAGGGTGAGTCAGTCTTTCCTCCGACCGCACGAGAGCGTGATTCAGCTTCCGTCCATTTAGATCAGGACTGCCAACTGTCGCCTGCTGATGAGGAAGGACCAGAAGGCCACCAACGGCATCGTGCACGTGATTGACGGCGTGCTGGACCCCAGCAGCATCAGCAACGCCTCAGTGGTGGACCTGGTGATGCAGGTAACGCCCTAGCTGCAGCAGCCACGGCGAAACGCTGACACGCAATTATGATCTGTCAGCTGATAGCACTTGACGTGTGTGGGATTTTATATGTGGATGGGGTGCCTGCTGAGGTGGGGCCGAATCATAATGACTTGTCGCCCACTAGTACTCCCCGTAAGTATCTCGCACGGTTGCGGAGGCTTGGCCGCCGTTTAAGTGGCGACTCTAGATTTTTTACGCACGCAATTATACATCGACTGTCCTTGCTGCCCGTGACATGTTTGCGATGCAGTATATATCGAACATTAAGCCGACGGCGCTGGAGACCCCATTGCGAAACGACAGCCGTTATCTGCGCGGCAGGACGGTCGATTCACCATGCTGACAGAAGCACTGCAGAGGTCCGGGTATCTGCGGGAGCTGCGAGACCTGCCGCGGGCCATCTCGATCCTGGCGCCATCTGACGAGGCATTTCAGAAGCTGCCCGCGCGCCGGCGAGAGAAAATTATGCGCGACGCCGGCGCTGTGCGAGGTAATGCCATCACCGCCCGGAGGATGGAGTCATGTTACTGGCAGACGACAGGGTTCGGCAATGGCTGGTCGTCTGGCGATGGATCGTAAATTATTGATATGTCTGGACAGCAGGAATACTTCGCACGTTTGAGCACTGTCGTAAAATACACGGCTGGCTAGAAGTGCAATGCATGACAGGATGTGATTGTCCAGCGTTGGCTGACGGAAGTACCAAGTGCCTAGAATAAGCAGCGCAAAAACTTGAGTTATGCTAAGTTTAGCGTAAATAGTCGGTTAAACGCGCTCACGAATAGCGTTGGTATAGATCTGTTGATAAATGAGCATGTACATAGTGCACATGTGGCATCCAGCGTGCTTCCTTTCACAACGACTTCGACAGCTTCATTTATATACAACCATGAACTCGTTTAACGGCATGACACTCGTTTTGCAGCGCTGCTACAGAATCACGTAATGCCCCACCCGATCTGCAAATCAGCAATATTGAGTGAGCACAAGATGAAGTCCATGGCGGGAAACAAGCTAACATTTCAGTGTGACAGGTAAGGCCATAGTTTGAAGGGCGTAATCATGCGACTTCACTGCCGAGGTACACGGGTCAGGCTGCGAAGCCGCCGGTCTTAGCCATGTGTTGTTCCGCCCCTCTGTCCGTCTCTCTGCCAAACTACAAGGTCGTGGCACCACCGGTGTCGCTGAGTGTGTCGGCTGCGGTGCCTGAGGGTCGGGCCGCCCCGCTCGCCGCAGGGACTCGGTATTCGTGGACCGGTCGGAGGCCAGGAGTGACGAGCTGATGGCCGAGGACGGCGTCATCCACCTACTGGACGACGTCATCATACCGGACAGAGGTACGGGTGCCTCGAAGGGTTCCCGTCGATCGCAGGTGTGAATCCAGGCATGTGAGAGTCAATGGAGCGGGGGTCACCGAAACAGACGGAGCTCGGGCAGGCAGGAGTCGGGCGCAGGGGTGAATGAGGAAGGGGAGGGCCAATGGTCGTGTAGGTTTACTGCTTGGCTGATGGGTAAAGTCATCCAGATTCCAGATAAATAGCTATCAGCTGAGTAGAAGTCATTGCGGAAAAGGAGTCACTTGAGTAGGGGTCACCCAGACACTGGCGTCAGTGAAATACAGGTCGTTTGGAGAGACCGGGTGCAATTCAGCGCACAGAGTCAACATAATCACGCAAGTCTCTTGGACCAAAGTCTGCCAATCCACTCGCATTTTGCGCAACCCAGCGCTGGTGACATAGTCCTGCTCTCGCCCCCTTCCTTAATTTCCAGCGAGACCTAACAGACCTGTGAGACCGCGTCTTTGCCGCAGCCAAGAGCCTGCTGGAGCTGGCGGAGCAGCAGCAGCTGGACACGTTCCTCAGCCTGGTGGAGGTGGCCGGCCTGCGCGACACCCTGCGGGACGGCGGCGACTTCACACTCTTCGTGCCGGACGAGAAGGCCTTTAGAGGTGGGTGCCCCAATGGGACACGACCGCCGCACCGCGTGGGACGCGTCACACACATCCCACGGCCTCGTGGTGCAGTTTCGGACCACTTCGCTGCAGTATTATCTTCTCGGTTTGCTGTTCAATAGCAGCTATCCTTATTCTGCTGATATTCTCCGTCGGCTAGTCAGCTGCTGGTCAACTGCTGGTGATCAGCTGATTGCCTATCTTTACCATCCCCAAAACAGGCATGGATTTAGGTGGGGATATCAAAACCCCGCGTTAGTTTGCGCCCAGCGTACGTCTGAGAGCACCCGTCCGGCGTTGAGGATTCGGCTTCGCCCCCAGCGATGCCGGAGCGGCTGAGAGAGGCTGCCAGATCGGACGCCAGTGCTGCCAGACGGCTTCTGCTGTTCCACGGCGCCGAGGGTCGTCACCTCTCCAAGGACATCGCCGACGGCCAGGTCCAGACAGACCCCCAGAAATTGGCTGCATCGACCCACACATGAGGCGTTAGGAATCCGATCAATCACGCTCTATTTTCCCCTTCCTTGGCGCCTCGCCGAAAGTCGGTGTCGTGTCATCGAATCAGAATAGAGCCATGCCTTTCTGCCAAAACCATGGGCATAAGTGGTGCAATCGTTGGCGCGGTTTATGATTAATCCTGACATCAGATCAATCATTATTTCATGGAAATTTTCCTTGGACTTGATAATTTGTGCCAACTAAAATCGCGACACTGAGTTGTAATTCTGCTCGCCAACACGCTTCGTACATCAATTGCTTGTCGAAAGTTGTTAAGTGCATTTGCGAGGAACTTCATTCACATAGGTAAGGAAGTAGCCATATTCCTCGGAGAAAAACTATGACAATGGAGATAAAGATGCGTTGATATGTCGGTAGCATGCCTTTATCGAAACGAATAGTAGACATTCGTTCCGATAAAGGCATGCTGCCGAAATATCAACGCATCTAGATCTTCATCCTCCTGCTTTTTTCTCCGAGGGATAAGGCCATTACTACTGCCTTATCCAATTGTTTGTCGAAATTATTTCCGTCAGCCGGGCAAATGTATGACGTCACGTGACAACGTATGGCTACCGTCATCCGTTCGCAAACTCAGCCGGTGCGTGGCGTCACTGGGCGATGTGCGAGTGACGTCACCGGTCCACAGGTGGTGACGTCACTGGACAGGCAGAGCGCGTTGCGGCTGCAGGTTCACCGGAGCGCGCTGGGCGTGGAGGACGCCATGGTCCGGCAGGCCGACCTGGAGGGCCAGAACGGCGTGCTGCACGTCATCGATCGCGTGCTGCAGCCGGTCAGCGAGAGCGCCGGCGACATCCTGCGCCAGCGGGGCGGCTTCAGGTGAGCCGCTCGCTGGCGGCGCGCGGAGCCGTGCAGCTGCGGCGGCGGTCCCCGCGGCAGAGCCGCGGCAGAGCGTCGCCTCGCTGAGAAGGGACCGGAACCACACGAGAGCGGCTCAGGCTGTGTCTTCCGCGGCAGAGCGTCGCCTCGCTGAGAAGGGACCGGAACCACACGAGAGCGGCTCAGGCTGTCTTCCGCGCGGACGTTGGCAGCGCAGATAAGCAGCCCCTCGCTGAGAAGGGACCGGAACCACACAAGAGCGGCTCAGGCTGTGTCTTCCGCGCGGACGTTGGCAGCGCAGATAAGCAGCCCCTCGCTGAGAAGGGACCGGAACCACACGAGAGCGCCTCAGGCTGTGTCTTCCGCGCAGACGTTGGCAGCGCAGATAAGCAGCCTCGGCTGCGTGAAACATCAAGTTGCAGTTCGGCGCTGACCAGTCGCGCCAGTCCGGTGCCGACTTGTGAACGACTTTGTGAAGCGTACCAAATACTGTAGAAAAGTGAGAGAAGTCGCAGGAAAGGGCGTTTCGAACGGAATCATGGGATGGGGTAGCGTCCTGACAAACCAGGGATCGCGGTTTTGCGCTGAGACATAGATGCCGACGTCGATTCTCCAGAAAGTACATCACGTATTACGAAATGAATATTATTGCTAATGAGCAAGTATATAAATGTTTATATGTGTAATATAAACGTTTTGAAACATTTAATATAAATGTCATGAAGTAAATGTATCATTAAATTACATCTTCGCCGCCCAGTTATCGTCCAACGGTCTGCTCACCCCGTTTGATCCCGTTTACAGCACGTTCCTGCAGGCGATGGAGAAGGTGATGATGACCAACGCCAGTGACCTGGCGCTCCATAACCAGGGAGCCTGCACCTTCTTCGTACCTAACGACGAGGCATTCAAGGAGCTGGGACTGGCCAAAACGGACATGCTGATGGGTGATGCGCAAATGCTTGCACAGGTGAATTCCTGATCATGCATATGCATGCGGTTCCGATTTTAAACTCGAGATAAGACTTCTGCAAGCCCTGGCCAGTGGGCGTGGAAGCATGCCGACTCCACACACAGCTTCCGCGATGGAGCTGCAGACCTGATGGCTCAGTACAGCGTCCTGATGGATCGATGGTGTCCCAAGATGAAGATACGCGCAGAAACCCAGTAGGCGTGCACTGCTTCGATGATCGAGCGATGGGTTGGGCTAGACCGACCGGCGGCTGATTCGACAACTGACGGCGCCGAGAGCGCCGTCAGTACGACAATACGACAATGTCGTATCGCGAGGACGTAACGTGACTGACGTGGATCCACAAAACCCTCCGCAGTAACGAGTGAAAACCAGCGACAATGTCAGTAAGCGTTTTGAAGGAACAAATAAGTTACGATGGCACATACTGCGCGCGCCTGCTGTCGCTGTCGTGACCTAGTTCCTGTACACCTGGACTGTAATCTAATGACGTAGTTAGGTGTACAAGAATGCCACATTAGACCATAGACATTCCAGACACGACGTTCTGATCTTCAACGACGTTCTCCGACTACATCGTCCAAGCATGGTTCGTTGATCGCATCGACCACCCACGATGCGGCGGGGGCACTCTCCAATGGTGCCTGGCATAACGCCACCCAAAGCTCATCGGCGCTGGAAAGTGGACCCGAGATACGTTATCAGCACCTAATCGCGAGATCACGAGGGTGCGTAGGGAGTTGAAGATAGCCTAGTGCGGCAGCACGGTTTTCGCTAGGAGCTCCGAACATGTTTGTAGGTTCCTACCGCGCCGAGGCACGCACACTCGCATCAGGTACGGGTGCGTTTTACAATACGGGCCTGTATCTGAACGATCTGTTGTCTTCGCTATCAGCGGCGGACGGCTAGGCTGACCAATACTGAGCGATTTTGAAAATTTGTGGGTACTTTTAGGGAGCTAGGAGAGGGATAACATTTACTGACAGCCAAAATTAACGCCCCTGGGGGATCGCAGGTTAACGGCGGGAGCAAAGAAGTGGTTATCGTGTACATTCAAACTCAACGCAATGCGTGGTATAGCGAGGCCTGCTGTGCTGCAATGCGTACAGCTGTTTTACCCAGCGTCGACCTTCAGTAATTTGTTTCCGAAAGCGATTTGCGCTTGGTCGGTCCCTGGACGGGACATGGCATGACCCGGGAGGACTGTCACATCTTGCTGTGGGAGCAGTAAAGAAGAGCGCGAACTGCTCAAACAGAATCAGGAAAATAGAGCGTCAGGAGCTGCTCGGTCTGCTATCGGTCCGTTCTTCGGGTTTCCGTCCACCGGTGGGTGAAGCTTGCACCTCTGGAAAGGCTGTATTCGCCCATCTCTTTGTACCCCAGCAGAGACGTAACACAGGCTCAAAATATGGGTTCCAAAGGCATTTGGTTACATTTCATTCCGAGCATTGATACATGGGCTAGCATTAAATTACATCGAGAAATGGGGTGCAGTGGCGCCTATCGGGTTTTCGTCCTTTTAATTCCTACTTACCAAATGTCTATGGCCTCAGTGCGGTATCTGATTCCCCTCCTTGGTACAACCGTACATCCGAAGGATTATGCCAAGCAACAAGAGTCGCATCTGTTTCTCGAAAACCAGTCAATCAAAAATGTATTATATGAACCTCTACCGCCGCTTCTGACTCCCTTCACCCTTATCCTCTTTCCTAATCTGTCGTCCCAGAGACACCACCTTCATCCATTGCACCCTTCCCACGCCAGCTGCACTCAGCGTGGGGACTGGTGCACAGGAGCCGCTGTCGAACGTCGCACTGACGTAGACTGCATACGTTTCTGCGCGCTCGGTGAGCTAATCTATCGCCGCACTCCCGCCCGGCGTGCGAGCGACGGCTGGTAACTCTCAACGCCAGTGGGGGGCAAGCGCTTGTGTGTGACACGTATACATATGTGCATATGCTTATGTGCTGCTACCTATCCGATGCTATCGTGCAGACGCGAAACGCGATGTCACGCTGCGCGTTTTCCCCGTGAAAAGGTACTCGGATTTTAACGACGAACGCCGTGTGGTCGTGCCATTGCAGACGGTGAAGCACCACATCACGGACCGGATGCTGCCGGCCGGCTCCTTCAAGCCCAAGCTGACGTACCACGTGGCCACCAAGCAGGGTACCGTGGACGTGCAGAAGGCAGGCGGTCAGCTCACGGTGAGGCCCACGGGAGGCCGCCCGCCCGAGCACCACGGCACGTGACACGGGCGCGCGGAGGCCAAACGCGGGCCCGGGAATCGGTCTCCGTGAGTCACCTCGGCGAAATATGGCGGTGTTGTTTGTTTACACGTCAATGTTGTTCAGTATGTATTTTGGTCGCGTTGCCTGAAATATCAGTCCGGGACTACGCCAAACCAAGCATATGGGAAATGCATCTCATCAAAAGTTGTCCAATTACTCCACTAATATGTGGATCCATTGGAACACGGCAGGCCTCAAACTAAGACCGGCATGGAACCCCAATAAATTCATTAATGATAAAGCTTCGGAAAATATTCTTTTAAGTCGGATAGCGCATAGCGTGTTGCGTTCGGCGAACCGCCTAAGCTATTTCTAAGTAGATGTCTCTCGTCTGCAAGAAATGAAGGGCCTGTGTCGGCCCATATATCTGTCAACATTTCTGGCACATGACTCGTAAGATACCCTTCGTCTGAGAGCCTTCCTTCGGCACCAGGTCGCTTGTAAAACTAGATGTTTCTTGCAATGTCAAAATAACCTTCAGTACCTTCAGTAACAGGAACATTGAAATCGATGAATACAGAAGAATAACCTTCAGTACCTTCAATAATAGGGGCATGACATTCATTGAAATTTCTTTGTACAGGCGTTGTTTACAGTTCAGGAGGCTTTCCAAGTTGTCTTAGGTAAGGGCTATCAACCTCCAACTCAGGGGCACTGTATGACCCATGGACCCTGTTCGGTTACAAGCGATGCTTTCAGTCAAGTAGACGTGTCTGACAATCCAAGAATATAACCTACCTTCTCAGGGAAGTCATGCAGTCCTACCCAGGCCACTACTTATTTTCCTCAATGCTTGATGATAATTTACAACACGAAGTTCTACGTAGGCACTTGCATGCACCTAAACACAGCATACTGCGACCGCCGCCAGTAACGCCGTTCAGCACCGAACTGCGACGTTCCGTGCGTGAGACCAAAGGAGTAGCGGCCAGGACGACCGCTAGACCGAGAACGGACCGATACACGCCACCTAAGAGGCCCTCATTGTAGGTTTCCTGTGATCAGTCCTCCTGCGCGTCGCAACGACAGGAGATTTTCAGACACTCGCAGATTTAGACGGGAGTCTTGCGAGGCCTCTCCGCGCTTCTCCGAGGGGCCTCCGATTTCCTCAATGAGGGCCTGCAGCCACTAAGACGTGCAGTCCTGCTTGGCTGCGTCACGGGCACTCTTCGGCGGAAGGGGCACTGCGGCGCTTGCCTCGTTTTTGAGTTCAGTGAGAGCGCACAAACGCATCCTTCTTTTCCGTAAATTCATGTTAATGGTACTGCAGCTGTGTAAACGACACATCAATAGTGATGACTTCTTTGCAGGTGGACAACGCACGCATCCTGAAAAGGGACATCCTGAACACGAATGGTATCATTCACGTGATCGACAAGGTGCTGCTGCCATCTAGCGTCGTGGAATCGACGTTTAAGTCTCAGAGTGCGACTCGCCGGCGTGCCAACAGTAGACACACCAACCACGGTACGCTCACCCGTCTTCTTGTCATCTGCACCCAGCTCGGCTGCAAAATGCCAAAAAAGTTCGCATGCCCCGGTTGCTGAAGTGAGTGTCCTTCAAAAACGAAGTATTAAGTGCAGCTTATTTTCGGGGAGGTGTGCCCGCTGCCATATCTGCACGAGGTATTTTCCGCGTGGCATCCATGGGTGGAAAATGCGGCAAAGCAGAATCCCCACGTCCATTAAAACAATAATTTCAACATCACGTTACTGGAAGATGATCGCTCCGACTTTGGTTTGGCTGAGCCGGGTTTCTTTATCTGAACACGTACAAAAGGTGCAGCGGACTTTACGGATCTCTGGCACCTTTCCTTTTTCAAGGAGTTTGCTCTTCTTAACCCTTTAAGACGTAGACGAGGATGACCTTGTGAGCCTGAGGGGCGAGAACGCATAAGTCGTATTTCCCATTACTAATTGTGTCATTTACGTGACATGCACATATATATATATATATATATATATATATATATATATATATATCCATCATCATTTGCTCTACCATGATCGGTTCTGACCACCAATACGCGCGCCAAAGCTCTATGACTCGTAACTGATGGCTCTGGCTGCGGATGTGGGTTCTGCTTCGCAGCAACCAGCACCAGCTACTCGCGACGAGTGACGACCTCGTCATTCCGGTCGGAGAGGCGGCGTCACCGCTCGAGGCGGCCCGGCGCCTCCCGCTCGCGCCACTCCCAGACGTCGCGCCGAGCACAGACTTCTGGATGAGCGCCGGCCCGCGCGACCACAGCGCTCCTTGCGACCACGGCGACCCATGCGGCCACGGCGACCCATGCGACCACAACGGCCCGAGCGACCACAGCGGCCCGTGCGAGCACAACCGCCCGCGTGACCACAGAGGCCAGTGCGACCACAGCGACCCGTGCGACCACAGCGGCCTCTGCGACTACGGCTACCCACGCCACCGTATCCACGATGGCGTGGGAAGCCGCACGTGACCACGATCCGTGCGACCACAGCGGCCCGAGCGGCCACAGCGGCCGGTGCCGGGCGAACTGGAATGACGTAGCGTTTCCGCTGCCGTGAGCGGGGTCGATGCAGAGACCAGCCGTCGCACGGAGTGGCAAGTTCCTCTCCCGATGAGCCAGGCGCCGAGTGGGGCGTCGCATACTGCCACCCCGGCCACATACTGCCACGTGTGACTGTAGGGAGGTCAGAGGTTTGCCTGACACTAACGCTTGGGATGTTTGCCTGTTTTGCTTTGTACATATTACCCGCGCGCCATATGAGGATCTGGTAGATTCTTCAGTCTGATTTCGACGATGCGTGATCACTGTTGGGGGAAAACCCTCGTATGCCGAGCAGCCACAGGTGTTTCTCGCGCCTTGATGAGTGTAAACTAAACCACTGCGTCACTGTTTGAAATGACACTTTTTGTGCACCAAGAGATTGCAGCAGGCTTAGGGCAGACTTCATAAGGACATGGCATGACTTCACCGGAAGGAAAACGTTGAAAAATACATGACTAGCTGTATTTGAAAAGCAAAGATGGGGCATACCATAAGTACACATGGCGGCAGTGCAGATGACAGCCTTCGTAAGCAGCGAGATATGTCGGCACAACACTTTCCAATCGCAGGCCCGATTTTGATGCAATTCTGAGAACTCGAGACCGCTTAAGCCTATCCTGTTCATATCCCAAATCAGGGTGTCATGTCAACCAGTCAGCCTAAATGATCAATCGCTGTAATCACCGATAACAGATCTGCCGACGGAGTCTGGACTCAAGCAAAAGGAGATATTTTTCACACACGGAGTCGGCGACTGTCCTGTCTCCTTGATGACGCTAGGATTAAGCGCACGAGCTTTTGCGAGACATGCACGAGCGGTAGACATTCAGCTGGGTGCCGCACGTCGACGGAAGTGTAACTCTACCATATGCGGAGGGAGATGACAAATTCGGTTTCGCGTGATGTACGCAGCAGGGTTACAAGTTCCCACGCGGTGCGCACGAGCGCGGCCCGCGCCCCGGCTTCAGCAGTCGGCGATGGTGGAAACAAATATGCAAAATCACCAGCCACCGCTTCGCGGACCAACTGTCATTTCAGAGCACACAGAACACGAGAAAGGCTGGCACCAGCGGACGCGCGGGCCGGCGAAGGATGGCACGCAACAGGATGTGACAAGACCACAAGTGGATGTAGATGACAAGTTGCCCACTGACTAGCAGCGACCAGGTACTTCACAGCCACAACATCCAGTGTTGCGCACTGTCGTACCATGGTGCACACAATATCACGCACTCCTACAGAATGAAACACAAAAGAACGTCTGTAGGCGAGCTCCTCCTTACGCACACCGAACCGCTCCCAAGAGTTTTTAGACACATGATAGCACACTGGCAACGTTTGAACTTAGTTGGAATGGAAGCGATCATTTGACGGTCCCGACGATTCAATACAGACTGGTCTTCTTCATGATTCGCAGAAACTCGTCCTGATTGATCTCACTGTCGCCGTCCAGGTCTGCCTCCTCAATCATCTCCTGCAATGTTCACAAGACCGTAGCCAACAGTTACATTGCACTGATTCAGACCTGCGCCACGCCAGAACTGAGCTAACCGAATCCTCTCAGCAGCAAGGTTCCTCTTCTTCAATAACACGTGACATTTAGCTGAAGGGGTCAGCCTCACACAAATGTATGCTGCATTACAAAACATGGAACAGCCTGCTTAATGCTTACCTGCAGCTCCTCGTCCGTGAGATTCTCTCCCAGCTCTTCCGAGACGCGCTTCAGATTTTTGAAGGAGATCTTCCCAGTTTCATCATCGTCGAAAAGACGGAACGCCTTCAGAATCTCCTCCTTCGTATCCTTTTCCGCCATCTTGGACGTCATCAAGGCCAAGAAGTCATCGAAGCAGATCTTGCCTGTCGACAATACGTGACGTCACCTCTGAAGCGGAAAAGGCTACTCGTCGAAAACACAATTTTTCCAGTTCCTAAATATGCTCTTCAATACGTCATTGCCTGAGTGCGTCATCGTACCTTGCACAAAATTGATTGAACGCCTATTGGCGGCCGTTATATCTGGAAGTCATACTCACAAACGCCCGGTATGAACGACTACGCAACTACATTTTGTTGACCTTCATCGCCTCACGGCTAAAATGACATAATTTGAATGGCGTTATTACGACGCCATGGATGCCCCGATGACCTTGCAATAGTCTCCCCAAAATAGTCTGCCCATCTTTGCGGATGTGTAGCTCAGAAGCTAAAAGGGTTTGGGCCTTAAGAACGGCAGGACTGTGAGCTGCACCAGATAATCTTCAATAAGGCTTTCTTAATTCAACACTGTGTACAAATGTGGAACATCTCTTTCATGGATCAAATGAAAATATTCCAGGCGGCGGGTATTTCCAATCCAGACAAATATTTAACCTAACGAAAAGTTTTGGGCCAGTGGTGCATTTATTTAGCACTGAAACAAGCAAAGAACAAGGCTTGATGAGCAATTCGATCATTGCCATTTTATTACATTACTGCTGTCATTACCATCACATCACATCGCGCAGAATTCTAAAGTTTAGAGAGCAAAAGGTCTCCATGAGTAATTCATCCAAGCTGGCCAACAAACAACTTCCGTTCGTTATTCCTGTCCACACAGGTGTTGTCAATGCTCAGGAAGACGTCAGTACCATCATCCTTGGTATCCTATAGTAGTGCACACCACATAAACCACAAACATAAACAGCATACCCTCAACATACAAGACCTATCTACTTCGGCCCTTCCAACGTCAAAATGCCATTTCGTACCATGGTATAAGCTGGCGGCTGTATCTACGGATGCATATTCAGCCATATCAACTGTGACAGTGTTCACATTCACGGGATGCCTTTGGTCTACGGAGCACGAGCTGGCCTGTAGAATACACCTCTCCTAACCTATTGAAGGTTAAATGAACTCAATTCAGTTTCCCGGACAGGGTACTTCACTTCCAGGTATTTCTTCCAGGTACTCCTACGCCTATGTGTTCGATTCAATCAGTGCTTTATTCCTCGATTTGTCGCCGACGTGGCCTATGGGAAAAAGACTTGAACGGCACACCATGGGCTTGCGAGTTAAGTCCCACAACCAGCAAAGTATTTGACCCAGCTGACACAGAAAGCACAGTCTGGCAACTTGCCAGAGTCCACCTGGCACGGGCAGCTGTCCTGCACCATTTCGTAACATTACATATTTTTCCCCGCTCTTAAGCCGGGTCAAAAGGGCCTACGCTTCGACAATTCTTTGAGGCGAAATTATATGCATTGGGTTGTTGGGCTCAAGGTGTGCACGGACAGATCTGTTTACCTTTTCCTCCGGACATGGGCACCACACCAACCATTTGCAGTGCGCGCCGAGCCGAGCTAAGAATGACAGGCTTGCAGCCGCCAAGTTTGTTTTCATCACATTACTTACCAGTATTGTCTTTGTCCACTTCAGCAATCATTTTCTTTATTTCTTCTTTCCGAGGCTCGAATCCAAGCGCTCTCAAAGCAACCTGCCAGTTAAAACATATGAATCAACCATGTCATGTGGTGCTCAATTAAAGCCAATCCAAAGTGCAAAGAAAGATTCTGGTTGAGGCATATCTCCGAGGCCAAATAAGCCCATCTGAGGCCAACGAAAAACATTTTGTGATTCAATACACCTTACCTTCAAATCTTTTGAATCAATGGTTCCTGTTCCTTCGGTGTCGAACAGATCAAAAGCTTCTCTTATGTCAGACTTCTGCTCCTCGTTGAGATCAACTTTAGGGCCAGACGACTTCTTCTTGGATTTCGTTCCAGACTAAAACGAAATGCATCATGTTACACAAGCATCATGCTGCAAGCAACGCACGCCCGAATTCGCAGCTTTAGAGAGATTACAAGGTCGTATGGGTTGAATTCGATGAAGGCTGGATAGCTGCAAACGAACACCGAAGGGTGACATAACACCACGAACCACAATCGGTCAGATTTCGTCTCGTTCAAGGGTATTCACGTTCAATGTTCCACGCAGCAAATACTCTTCCCTGAAAGTTTGCTGGAAATCATTCTGGTTGTATGAATATTTACATGAGTAGACACAAAAGCAGGTGAGAACAGGTCCAAATTTTACTGGTGCAAGTCGTTGTCATTCCCACTTCAGAGTCCTTTGCAAATGAAGATGAAGGCAGGGGATGATGGGCTCTGCCCAAGGGGAGGGTGAAAACAATTTATGTTATACCTGAATATGCTTCTAAGCAGTTTTCCAAAGTTGGATGTTTTTTGGGGGGATCAGAGCTTTTCTGACCAGAAATGATCATTTCAGGGGTATGGGATGAAGAAAAATGGTTGATGGTGGCACGGACTTGCATGTGCCTGGGACAGGAGCAATCAGCAAGCTTTAACCTGTGCATGCATGCTGGGTACCCAGTCAGGGTCCCCTCCCCACAGGGCTCTCAGCCCATTCAAGGCTGATGTTTGCAGCCTGCCCAGGACAAGCAGGGTGCAGTGAGGATGCAGGATGGAGCAAGATAGAGGGTAAGAGGGAAGGATCTCATTTCCAAATTTAGTGGTGGATGGATGAACTTGGTGCCAAGACAACATACAGAAAACAGAGAAACATCACAGACATCAAAACATCACATCAAATGATATCACAGTGTGCTCTGATATTGCTCAGCTATGTAGTATTCAAGGGAAACTATTCAGACCTGTGAACAAAAGTTTTCATTTTGGTGGGAGACAAACTTATGTCAGAAAATGCCTTTGGTAGCAAAGGTGCAGAACAACACAAATTATACATTTATGTGTATATTCATAGCCAGCATCTTTTTAAGCCATATTATATTTTTTCTCCATATCCTGATTGTGAAGAATCACATTTTGCAGCTGCTTCATGGGTAGATGACTGAATCATATACAACTACTCTACAAATGGAGCTAATGAAGATTCAATGATTCTGAACCTTTTTGTGCCTGTCAGATGAATATCATCTATCTGCAAAGCAGCTGCACAAATTGGTTGTTCATGACCAGAGTACACAAAAAACAACACACCATAGGCAAATTTGGTAACTTTTCCAGCATTCTGTGGAGCTGACTTCACCATTCCAATATGATCCTGGCAACCACCATATCCATCAATACTGCTATGGGCCCTTTAATAAAAAAATGTTCAGAACTTTCACAGTTTCTAACCCACTTCCACCCTGATTACACACTAGTTCTGCTGGGAAAACCAACTCCTCCCAGTGGTGCTGTGTTAAGTGCAATGACCCAAAAGGGTAGCATCCATTTGACCCCAACTGAGCTCAGGGTGAAACAAATGGGTGTGTTTTGTCTACCATCAAAGGAACAAACTGCTCCCAGTTTAGAGCTTCAAAACATTGTTCTCATATTTTAGTACAATTTGAAAAAATATACAAGCTTAACCACTTTATCAAACCACCATCAGTATAACACATGTAATTCCTGGATGACCCATAAGCTGTCACTGCCACATTTCAATGCAACAGTTAACCCTCTATAAGCATAAATGCTAATATGTTAATATCAATCACTTTGAGCATGTGACCCCATGTAAGATGGCAATATAATTTTATGCATACAACTATCTGATTTTCATGTTGACTGGATATTCTCCCCAATAACCCCAAGCCTATCTGCACAGTTTTAACTTTCAAATAGACCAAGTAGAGGGTTGGTGCACCTATAACCATTACTATGTATTAGTACTGTCACTTAACCCTTATTGCATGCCATAATACCATTGCATGCGGAGCTAATATGCACAAACATGGCATAATATTAAGATGGGCAAATGCTCAGTTGTCTTGCATTGCAATTGCTGGGAAGATGTTTGTTGGGATGACAATTTTCATTTGTCTTATCTCCTTCATAATTTTCCAAACCGTTTCCGCCTGGGTTAAGCAGAAGCCTTTCCTTACTAACCATTGTCACTTATGCCTCAAATCGCAACGACGGCCGGCTGCCACCCGTCACGCTATCACGATGGCCGGATGAAATGACTCAGCGCAGCACGTCAGATACGCAAATAACCGCAGCCACCAATACTTCTCAGCCTGTTGCAGACCGGCGTGACATTTGTTTATCATTTTGGCATGTACCAAATAGTAGGAACACTGTTTGATACTAAAACTTAGTTTATTTTGAGGAAGTCAAAAAATTATATTTGTAATTGGGCTCCAAAGAAATATTTTTGGAAAAAAATATGCTAAATACTTGTTTAATTTCGGCATATCACTTATTGTGAGGAAAAAATACGTGTCAATCTATGTGACACCACTGCCGTGCCACTGGTAGAGTGGCTCTGTGGTATCTACCAATGTATCCACTATGTAAAAGGTTGTAATCACAATCCGCCGCCATCTTTGTGTTGTTCTGTGGAGGGGAGAAAGTGCGAGGGCGTAGCGACGTTTCGTCGCGCATTTCTCCTGTTGTATAGAGGAGTCGCTATAAAAGGTCAGTGATTTGCACTTTTTCACCGTTTTCTAGGTTGTGCTATACTTATTAAGATATCGCATGGTCTTTCCTGCTCGTGGAGCCCTGCTGTTCCAACCGGCCGTTCTGTCTCCCGCGCCGCTTCGGCCTCTTTTGCGAGTGCTAGACTGAGATACTCGGAATGACATTGAAAGGACCTGAGTTTCAATATTCGGTCACTTGGGGAGCATGATGTTGATATTTGTCATGCCATTATACCCGTACCTCGGGTTTCACTTGTCTGCTGCCTCTTCACTTGCTCGAAGTCGGCCAGTCAAACGACGGGGAACCTGGCGCTGGTCAGCCCAGCATATAAATGCCTCGTGGTTGATTAATGGGTCGGGCAGGTCAGATGTCTAGGTTTCGGCATAAAGGGCAGCAGATAATCATCAACAAGTGGAGCGTTGCGGCCACCAGAGAGCCAGGAAGCTGGTAGCTTTGATTTATATGTACATCCCAAAACCTCATTGTATTTGTTTTGGAATTCTGGAAGGGACTTGTGGACTAAACACGCCCACAGCTCACACACATGTTGAGAGCATGGCTGTTATTTTACATCTTGTGCATTTGTTCCGTGTTATTAAAGTAAAAACATTGATTGAATTGGTGCTATTGTAAGGAAAGTCATGATCTTATAGAGTCCCGTTCAACATTTTTAGCATCCTGTGGAATTTTGATCAATGGAAGACTGTTTGTGGCTTGATTTTTACTTCTTATGCTGACTGTGTTGGAGGATTTTTGACTTACTAATTATTTTTGGTATCACCTAGCCAGGTACAGCTTCCAAGAAGGTGCATTCCAAGCAGAGTGCAGCTAGGCCCCCAAAGGCAGTTCCTGTGGTGTCTCAGAAGGATCAAGACATCTGCATCATGGCCTGTGGCAGTGTTCCTGTGACTGATCAGCAGGCTTGGTATGAGCACATGATCCGGCAGCAGAATGGTGAGCAATCTAGCAGCACCTGGCAAGTCCTGAGGGGATGTTTATGGGCACAAATAACTTAACCAGAGGGTTTGTGCAGGATATTTTGCAGTCACCCCTATCCTGCCCCTGTTTTGCCATGGTCTGCATCTGCATGCATTAATGCATCCTCTGACCATTGTCTTAAATTTTGATGTTTCTTTGTGTTTTTTACCTGAATACATTTTGTTCTCCACTGATATGCTCTGGCAGGAATGTAAGAAATTTGTATCTGTGCTCACTGTGAGATGGAAGTAAGCAGTTTCCAAAACTTTGACAGCATTGTGTACAACACTCACCACTACTTAATGAGGAATGCTGCTGACTGGTTTCAGGCAAATCTCATTATCATACCACACTTAGTCTTTCCTTTCAATGCCTTCATTGCTGGGGTCTGTTGCTGCTCACCAGCACATGTTTAACCCATCTACTATTTACCAACAACACTCCAGCACTCAAGCACTGGACTCTGAGTCTGCACTCAAAACAACTGCCACTGCTCCTGATGGGATGGATAGCCAGGGAGAAGAGAACAAAGAGTATCTTGCATTAGTCACAATTCAACATTTCTGGATTGGGCATGAAAATCATTGTAACACAATGGATATTTATATGAAAATGCATATCACACAGTTGTATGAAATTGTGTGATGTGTATGTTTGTGATGTGAAGTATAAATTAAGTTGTTTGAAAGGCAATGCAGTGACATCAAACACCATCCTTAACACTCACTTGGGCACCCAGAAATACATGGCTCTGCAAGTCTCCACTTTTGAGAGGATTTAGCATTGGAGATAGGACATATTCTCCACCAAGAAATCTGAGCTGAATGCAGGGATGAAAACGCACAAAAGGGGCGCAAGATGAGAACGTGTGACTTTCTCTTTCGATGTACAGAGCTTCACCACCAAAATAGGGTGTATTTTGTGTGGTGTAAAGGTGTAAGGGTGTAAAGCTAAAGCAGAGTTTCCTGTTCACCATTAGGCAGAACAATTGGTTTTGTATTAAGATAATTATTTATGTTTTTTAGGTTCACCTTTTATTTAAGCTGGGTTTTGCCAGTCATTAACCTTCACAAACTTGTTAAGGCCCTAGAAAGGCAATATCAAAACCGATGATTGTTTACGTTCTTTAGATTCATGTTTTATTTAAGCTGGGTTTTGTCAATGAAATATCCTTACAAAATCGGTTAAGTCCTAGAAAGGTCATATACAAACCGATAAACAACTTGCGGTGGCTAGATCGTTGCAGACTGCTGCTCTTTCCGCCCCATTTCTGTAGTCTTCCGACGTTTTTTTTAGAAGAGCCGCGTGAGGCGCCGTGTCGGTCGGTGGTAGTGGGATTGGTTGATAATGCAGATAATGACAGTATATTAAGTCAGCTCAGCATCATACACTGAGAATAGTACTGTACCAGACTGAATGTCGGTGAGAAGATGTAGCGGTGGTGACTATGTGGGGCTAGCTCTCTATGAAGAGGAAACAATTCCTCTGCCCCCGCCGCATTGACCTCCGAGCCCCGATCACACATTAGTCTGACGTCCCAGATGGTGTAGTTTTGTGCACAATGTTGTGGAGGGGATGAGCAGAGAAAGAATTAAACCCAAACAAATTGTGCAAGCCATGTTCTCCCTGAATTTGACCAAATTTCTTCTTAAAGTTGGGGAGGGGCTGGAATCCCACCCAACTGTAAAGGAAACTACAATCCTGATCCCAAAGTAAATGGATCCAGGTCATTAGAAACCATGGTGGGTATCGCACTGCCCCAGCATCTGTCCCTCAGGTGGGAGAGATTGTGCCTGGGGTGGAAGGTGGCTGCACTGGCTACTATGCCCCAGATATTCCTATTTATATGATAGTGGTTTGCACGACATTTCAATCAAAACCTGGACGTAACGTGCTCTGGGAAATTATGCAAGGGTTGCACAACATTTAAAATATTGGTTTCTATCAGTCTTGATTGAGACTCAAACCTTTGTAATAGAATTGTCAATATTAACAGCTCCCTATCAGCTCAATGGCTTCAAAAAGTACAGTAGATATGAGTATACACATACAAGGGAAGCATTTACCCAGCAAGCTAGAAAATCTAAGAATAGCACATGGCCAATCTTCAGTGGTGTTTGGCAGTCACTGAGACCAGCTAGTGCTTGTGCATGGTGTTTACTGTCAATTTCTGCTAAAAATGTCTTACAGCACCAGTTGTGCACACAGTGCAAATTCATCTGGACTGTTTTGTTCTCACTACAAACCATGATTTTAGAATTTTTCTCCCACCAGCTAAAACAAAATTTCGTATCTTGCCTCTGACTCCTGTCTGTTTGCAGGGATGGCAGCCCAGCCTTCGCCATTCACTGCTTTGGGCTTCGGCGAGCCAGGACTGGCGATGCGCGCCGGTCACATCAGCGCCGCCGGCCACTACGGCTTCCAGCCGCCGCTCCAGCCGGACCAGCACATGGCCGACAAGGAGAACGACGCCGGCGACGGCGGCGCCTTCCGCAACGGCTTCCACGGCGGCGGCGGTGACGTGGCGGCCGCGTCCCTGTGGGCGGGGCGCGGCCCGGTAGCCGGCGGCAGCGGGATCGGCCCGCTCGGCGGCTACCTCGGCGAGCGGAAGCGTGCCCGGGATGAGGTAGTGTTCCAAGAGTTCAAGCGAAGACGGCTGGCAGGTATGTGCACGGGCTCGGACGTGCGCGACATCACGGGCTGTGGGATGGGTACGGGTCGGTGTGGATAGTATGATCGTGCGGATGGGGCTTCAATAGTCAGCTTCACATGTAGTTAGTGACCTTGAAAATCCGCACAAGTTGACCATGTGCGTAGTGCACACGAAATTTTCAGTGTTTGATGCGTTCTTTTCACGTCTTTTGGGGGTTTCGATATGTCTGGTGGTGTTTCTTACTCTATAACATGATGGACTTTCCTTGCAGTGTTGGCTGACACTTGAAGCGTCATTCGCTCCATTTACCAGAGTACTTTGAAGTAGAGTTGTCGTTAGTTTCTTCTGTGTGGACGTCGTCATCTGGTGACCGAGAGTAGGCGGCACTGTGTGGGAGCTATCGCAGCCACAAAATGTCACGGCAAGGCATGGAGGTTGTCTTTTCATTTTGCTTACAATCTAGGGAAATCGGTGTCGAAATTACACGATTCAGTTTGGTGCAGTATTAGGATTTTTTGGCATGCATCCCATCTGACATATTACAGTTAACATTTGTATCCACTTTTGTGGCGTGAAGACTGGTTTAGAGTAGTACAAATACCCCTTATCACTTTTTCAAAACACTGTTCCGCGGAATAAGTTCTAGATTGAAAGCTCCGTAAGGGTGGTTACGGGTCCTGTTGCTATGATCAGACAGGTCACTGAATGTCCGAGTAGTGTCACCATGGCAGTGATCTTTTCTGAAACATATGATAGATGACAGAGAACATGTTTTGTTTTTTCTCGGTAATGTTTCTGTAAGGATTTCACCCACGTAGTTCATGAAATCAACAATCAGCTTGTTGCGCCAAATTGTGTGATACATTACCGATAATGTCACGACACCCCTTTGGTGGAGTAAAAACTCGGAATTGTGAAGCCTTTTTGAGTTTTTGTAAAAATTCGGCTGATAGTAGTTTTATGTTCATCCAGATGTTTTGATCGGTCTTTCCTGTGCAGGTATTTAGGTCTTCAGTCACTGTTAACGCAAAGAAGGAGACCTTCGAAAACCAATAGCTGGTTATAGAAAGACAACCACCATCACCTTTGTGTTAGATTATGGCCAGGTACTGCACGTGTTGCATCCTCTCGGTCACCATGTGACGTAGCTCCTGCATTTTAATCAAGTATATACTGTAGAATAAACATGTTTTGCTCAGACCTTTTCCTTCCATTGTATCTCACCAATACTCTGTCCTTTGCTCTGGGTAGCGTCATGCACGGTTTTCTCATAGTCGCACAACAGAAAGAGAAAGGGGTCTTATTGTTTTTTGTACAATTTCTGTCCTCATGTCAGAATCTTTTGAAACTTTTACTGTGAATCTGGGCACAAAATTGTAGATTAATCTGCTTTTCAATATATTTTGAGATATATTTGTATCAAACAGCTTATCCATATCATAAGTGTGGGTAGTGGTTGGGCATAATTGCCAGTTAGGCGCTTATCTATGAAAGTGCCTCAGTTTTCCCGTTTTGGGTTCGTGCAGGGCAAAAATTATCAAAACGTGATCAATCAGTTTGGATAAATGTGTTGTGCTCGTGTAAGTAGGTATGTTTCGGCACGTTAATTGTGGGTCTGTACAGGCCTGACTTCTAAATTTCTGGATATAATTGTTTGCGTTGATCGTCAATGTCACATGGTTTTTAAAACATCTCTATATTCGTTCATAAAGTTCCCATAGGCGATTTATTGCCAGCCTAGTGTTCAGAATGTCATCACTTCGGCAAATCTTTCTTTCCACCAGACATTACTTCCTGGGCTGTTGTTCGCATTAAGGACGTTCATAGTTGACATACTTGCGAAGAGTACTTATAGTCAGGTATAAACGCAGTGACGCTGAATGTTTCGATCAGCTGTAATTCAGCTGGTCCTCCACCCCTTCATACGGCTCTCCAGTCGAGACTGGTATCGCTACCCAGAGCTGCCTTCTCCGTCGCACCCTGGACCGCCCTCTCCTCCAGATGGTCATGTATGATCGGGTCGGAGCCGTTTGTGAGCTGAGGAGGCCTTTCACTGTCAGCTGTGTGTCACCAGCCGTGTCGATATGGCCGTGTCGCTCGCCGGCCGGCCCGCCGGGGCCGTGTCGTGTTGCCTGTACACTGTCCCGCCCGCGCCCGGCCGCGGGCGGACAGTTAATCCATGCCTGCCTGTACGCTGCACTAGGTGTTGTGTAAGATCAGCTCGCGCGCGCCGCCGCCGGATCGTCCCAGGTCCATGACCTGACCTGACCTGACCCTGCCGAGGTCGTCTGCCACCCCGTACGATGTACGGCGGGTCGTAGGTACAGTGGCGGTCACGCCTCCGGTGTTTCTGTTGCTCGCTGGTCACGCGTAAGTTCGCACCACCTGGCTAGGCCCAGGGCCCGGCCTGCTTGCGTACGCTCAGCGGGCTGTGCCCGGTAACGTGTCAGCCCTCTTGCGAATCGGCTCGGTTTTGATAGCACCCTAGTCGGAAACTGTGCACTGCAGGCTTGTCCTGGAGCAGGTCACTACAGTCCCCAGACGCTCGTAACCGTTCGACATGCGTGCGCACTCGACAGTCCGCATACTCTGTCGAGATGCTAATGACATTCATAAAAGTCGAAGTTTTACACGGAGGCCTTGCGCCGTTTGCCGGGAGAACCAAACCTGGTGATGTCGCGGCATTGCCCGGAAATCTCACGCTGGTCCTGTGGGAGGTAGATGTGAGGGGCTTGCCGCCAGTCAGACGCGACGGCATGCGTAGCACGTGTGTGATAGGCTGACGCGGCGATGACGGATGCGCTTGTACGTTGCGACAGCGCCCCAAGCGCTAGGCGTATCGTGAGACTAGGCTGCGTCTCTGTTGTATCTCTCTATTGTCGGTTGCGTGTTATGTTTGTTGTCGTTGCTTCGCTTACCGAGGTGCGTGACGTGTTGTACTAAGCGGTCGGTACGGAGTTCAAGAGGATACATCGGCGATGTCTGAGAAGACAACTTGCGACACTCCGCGGAGCGCGGATTGCTACACATTTGAAACGTATGCGCTTTATGCATCGTCTATTAACATCTTTGTGGACAACAACGTCCCATGCGTGAATGTATGAAAAAGCAATAAAGAAAAAGGTGGAGGTCCGCACGTGAAAACCATTGGACATGTAATGGGAAAACTGCGCTGCTACATGAAGAGCGTGGCGGGACGCAGCCAAGAGGAATATACCCGTCTTGATATGTGGGCTAGTTCCAGCGTGAAGCACAAACTAAATGACAGTTGTCTGTTAGTGACAAATAATGTCTGGTGGTGGTTTTTATACTGCTTTTTCGCTGACACTGGTGCAGAAGAATGCGACGGTCAATCAAGATTTTGACATCGTTTTTGTGCTGAGGAACGACCAAAGAATGTCTACGTAAAGTGATGAAAGAAAATAACGCAAACGTGGAGAAGCGCTGCAAGGATGTCGATATCTGAATTGACGTGCGAATTCCTGCGTGAGGATTGTCATCGGCATCGAGAAACGATGCAAGGATGTCGGAATGCGGTAGCCAACATGCGACCCGCCCATGGAAATCCGAATGTCTTCCCGAGGATTGTCGCCGGCGTGGAAGACGACGCAAGAATGTCGGAATACGGGAGCCACCATCCGATCAGTCCACCGACATGTAAATTCCATTCTGAGTGCTGCCGTCAGCATTTGACATGGTGGTTGCTATAGTTTAGCGGGCGCTTCTGCTCAGATCGATCCATTCGGGATAAGCGTGACTATATGGCTCACCGGAATGTCGAAAAGGCAGGTTCCAATGTAGCGCAATACCCAGAAAGCAGGGTGTTTCAAACATGGACGGGGGCTTGCATTCCTTTGTTTATCTGCTGCTCCCAGAGCAAGGCTCCTAGTGATTTCTGTAGCTGGTTAGGTGTGTAACTAATTGTGTTCCTGTCTGTGTTGACATGAAACTCGTACATGGGCTTTGCAGCATTCGGCGCTGTCTTGTCAAGTCAACTTGACTTAAAAAAGGCTTACCCTAGTAACGGATTTCGCCGTGACATGTCACCGCAGTAAAACAGACGCTTGGTTTTTTAACTGACTCAAGGATATGTTCCTCGATTCGAGGAAAGTTTAAAATGTCAGCGCCATCGACCTTGCTTTTCCAAGTAATCCACGTATCAGTTGGAATTCAGCTTATTTTTGGTATTGAAGCACCCAGTCTCATTGTAATCCTTTTGTGCGGTTGCTTTGTTCACAAGCCGTGGTTGAATGCTGGCGGCAACTCTCCTCAGCCATGCTGAAGCTGGCGGAAGTCTCAAGAGGAGCTACCCCACCTCGCGCTGCAGTGTCAAGTGTTGTGCCTCAAATCGTAGCGCCCCGCTATCTCACTGCATTCCAACATTTGACAGGAGTGTTTGATATCGCCTTGGCGACTCCTCGTGTACATACGGACTTGTCGTGTCAAGGATGCCGCCCACGCCCCACGACGGATAAATGTCGGTCACGTCCGCCATTGGTGGTATAAGCTGTTCGCCAGCAAATCAGACAAGACTTCACTGTCTGTCGGCTGTGCCGCATCCTTGCCACATGGGTTTGATTGTGCCGCTAACTCATTCTTTCCAGGTGCCTTCGCTTGCATGTCTCGTGTAGACAATTCACCAGCACGTGGTGATGTGACAGCCAACAACTGTATCCCGTTCTGAGGCTAACTGTAAAATATATGATACAGCGCAGTACTCCTGACCGATCATGAGCGCAAAATGCAGTCCACACCGTTTTCCAAGGATTTTAAAGCATGGCAACAATCGTGCACGAATCCCGTTTCTGTGGTAGAAATATATCAAATTGGGACGCCTTTCAAAAACAATGGCTAAGTCAAAGCGGAAATACCATTTGAACTGTCTTGTCTTGTCCTAACATAATCCTTGTCTTTGCCTATTTTTAGTAATAAAAAATGAACGCTCGAAGCGTTCGCGCGGGGCACGTTTGGCGATCAGAGGCGGTGCTAAGCATAGCTTGGCTTGGTCACTGACCCCGCCAGGTAGCTAACGCCCGAATTGAAATGAACTTCCCCAGGCTTTTGCCAAAAAGTACAGAGGGTTGTAGCCAATCATGCAGTACCATGACGCTGTAGCCCAGTGGAAAGGTTCCCCTCGTCAGGGGAAAGGTGAACCCTAGATGGGGTTGGAGCCCACCTGGGTGTACCGCACCAAACATAAGGCGTTTGCCACTCGCGTGCAGAGACCGACTCTCGAGACATTCTAGTCATTGGGCCAAGGTAACGTCGTTTTGTTCTGACCTCGTTTTGAAAGGGTCTAGACGCGATGGGTCATTCGCTACCTGTTTTGTGACGAGCTCCTCGTAAGTGACTGTTTTGAAGAGCGTCTTGCGGTATAGCATCACCAGTGCGGACTCCGACGCAGGGAAGCCGGATTCCATGGATGGTAGATACCTGATCCCGGCGCTGACGTGACCACTGTTTTCGCAGCGTTTTGTGGTTAGGTGAACGCGGGTATACTTTTGTGGGAATTTTTATCGCGACAGGTCAGTGGACTGCATTTTGAGCCATGTTGTCAGTGCGTGTGCAATGAAGTACCCAGCTACGACTATGAAGTTTTAGATATATTCAGCCTTATGATTCCTTAGACCTCCGGATGGTGATGTTTGCTGGCTGTCTCAGAACCATGCTCGTGTGATGCGTCGTGGGGCATCCCCATCCCAGTCTCTGGTTTCGGTCTCTGCCCACCATGTGTCTTTCAGAGTCTCGAAATGAGTGGCCGGCAAATCTGCCGTGTAAAGGCAAAACCACGCATGTCTCGTTCCATCGCAGTTTGCGTGTGACATGTACTTAGTCTGCGTGGTTTCCCTTCGCGCGGCAGAAACGCCGGGGTGTGAGTAAGTGAGGTCACTACTCGGAAATAACACCAATTCATGGAGAGTCTGAACGTTCATCACCCTGGAAATTCTAAGTGTGCATGAGCGATAGTTGCTGATTTTGTACCTTGCAATGAGGCTGATTGAGGTTTCCTGTGTCAACGCATAATGAGGCAAGCTGAGACCAAGCTCACTGATGTTACAAAGCTCGTGGAAATGTCAAAGTCGGTATAATAAGTTGGTCCTTTTAGAATAATTACAAATGCTTGTATTACTCTTAAAGGGAAACGAAATGATTGTACATTTTCAAATGACGTGAAAAGTCATATGCTGATTTAGTGTTACAAGTCTTATCTCATGTCCTTTTACTGTCACGAAGTGGTAAATTCGTCACTTTGTATTGAATTCGTCACGACGCTTTGAGACGTTTTGGTTTATTTTTGTTTGGAACGTGTCATATGATTTTTTTTGTGAAAAACGTCTGGTCCTTTGCTTAATTTTTGTCGCTCCTGAACTCTACTCAATTGGGAAATACCTCATTAAGGCATACGTTAGCAAATCACAGCGTTCGTTATTAAGAATTTGCTGTGTGTCTTTTGAAGAAAGTTTTGCAGTAGTACGATAAGATTTACAACATTTGTGAGTGGGGTCACGAATCATGTGAAAAAGCGATGTAATGTTCCTTGTGAAATTGGTCTCAGATCGTTGTTTGTAAGTAACCGCTGGCCGTTTAGGCCACGTTTGTGCGCCATTGGTTTCCATTTCTTTGATATCACACGGATGTGTGTGTGTGTGTGTGTGGTTCTTGCGCACGATTTGTCGTTAATTGCCATGAAGTCTTGTGGTGGCTAACGTTTAGAGGGTGCTGAATGCAGCTACTTTGAATTGGTATTATTTCCTACTGGTGGCAGTCGTAGGCTGTTACCTCATGGGCACCGATATTGGCTCTGTCGAAACCCTTCACCTATGTTGACGCTGTTTCAGACCTAGGTTAAAAAACTATTGTTATTCCACATCGTAGCTATATTGAAGCATTGGCAGGTGTAGTAATGAATCTGATACGTCTCATAAATTCTTCTTCGTTTGGACTTTGGAGCGGTGCTTCAGGAATAGTGAAGATATGTTGGCTTGTGAAAAACTGTGTTTGGCGGCCGCTTAGTTGTAGCCAACAACGGAACAAACACCAAAATCAAAGCAAATCGGCGTTTGCCCCGTGGTGTACAGGACTTTCGGAACTTTTGCTCGTTGAAACATCAAGCGTAGCACGAAACGATGCTGCAGTAAATTATTTGCGACCATGCGTAAAGGCTTGATATTCATCGTAAGGATGCAAAGGGTTTGTCGTCAGCAGGCCTGTGGCTTACTAGTCATTAGGATGTAGCTGTAACTTGTCAAACGGTATTGATAAAATTAGGGACAAAAAGAGAAAAACAAAACTTGCGGTAAAATTTACCCTCGTGAACATAAAAGTTTCTTCGTGTTGTATAAAATTTGGGTGCTGTCCAGTAGTCTTGCTTTCCTAACGTACCTTTTTACACCTTGTTCGACGTGATATCATCTGTAGTTACAGGCACTGCTTTTATCATGACAGGTAATGTTGCACTCGGTTCTAAAAGTACGGGCCAAAATCATGTACAGTGAGAAGTACGATAGATTATGTTCTAAGGAAGCAGGTTTCCTGGTTTCACAATGCCGTCTTGTGCATTGATATGAATGCATTTGATCTTGATGTTCATATATTCTTCTGTTTTATAGAGGTTTTAATTCAAATTTGCTTCATGTTTTCTTGCACTTGTTTCTGTAATATGCAGGTCTCAAACGTTCAAGGGTTTGCTGAATCCCGCGCGATGTGCTGGTCCACTGCACGGTGCCAGTCTGATAAATGTGCCACGAATAGATGATATCACTTGCCAACTTTCTCTGTGCATTCCATATCCCGGTTTGCTAGTGAGTGCTGTGCTGACGTGTAGCTTGTGTTCCGTTTCCGGCGGGGTGCTGCTGTGTGGGCGACAGTCGGCCGACCCTGACCCGTCACGCCCCGGCTCCCGGTCTTGCGTACCGCACCTCCCCTTGACAGGTGCCGACCAAATCACCAGTTTCTACAGACCAGTTTCCACAGACCCTCCCATCCATGTGCCGTAGCCGGGCTACTATCACTGGTTCGACCCTCTTTGAAACCAGTCATGACGATGCCCCTTTTGCTGCGTCTCTATTCTGGCCTCGTGGTAGAACTGTTGCCAATAAACACCTGAGTCACCACAGACAGCCGTCGTTCCTCGCGTCGTAGGCTGGCTCTCATTTGTTTGCATTTGTATTGGCTACCGTCAGAGCAGTCGTGTGATCACCGCGCTTGCGGGGGCTTCGTTCTGAGCAGTCGTCTGGCCTGCCCCTCACCGCTCCCCCGTCGGCCGACCTCGCCCGACAGCGGCACCCCGCCGGCCGCCGGCCGCCGGTGACCCGTGACCCCGCCCGCAGAGCCGGAGGCGCCGCCGCCACCGGCGGCGCCGGCGCCGGCGCCGGTGCCGGTGCCGAGCTCGGCGCCCGGCCAGCTGGGCCTGAGCCGCGGCATGTGCCGGGCCAACGGCGCCGCCCCCCGCTGTCTGATGCGCCACATGATATGACTAGGAGGTGAGCCCTCGGGCCGGGACGCCGCCGCTGGGGGCTCGTGTGCAGACGCTGGAGCGTGCCGGCCGAACCGGTCTCGGCGGGGAGGGGGCGCGCGGCGACCGACTGTGACGCACTGACGTGACGCGGACGACCGGAGACAGCGGCTCGGACTGGCTCATGGGCTTAACCTGACTGTGTCGGACGACCGGGACGGAACTGTTGCGGCGCCACCGCTGCAGGCAATCTGAAGGCGCGGCTGGCTCTGCGCAGGCGCAGTTCCGCTGCCGACCGCTCGTGACCGTCGTCCTTCTGCTCGTATCGTGTGAGGCGTCGACAGTGGGGGGCGAGCCGGGTCTGTGCTCCTGCCCTGCTCCGTTCCCCGCTCCTGGCCTGGCCCGCTCGTGACCGGCGCCGGTCGACTGGGCTTCCCGGCCTGCTGCAGAGCTGATTGGCTTGGCGCGGCGACCGGCATTCAAGCGGCCGGTGCCTTTCAGAGATTGACACGAACGCGGCTCCGCGGCCGGGAGCGGCCGCCGACGCCATGGACGTCCAGTGGCGGCCGGCGGCCGACTCTCAGCCGGAGCCGAAGCCTGAGCCTGAGCCGGATTCGGAGCCGGAGCTGGCGTGGCGGCTGCTGCGCGCCCTGCACGGCGCCGAGCCGTACCACTGGCCGCCGGCTGGCGCCGACTAGCCGCCCCGTGAGTGCCGCCGGCCGCGGCAAGGTCTCCCGGGCCCGCAGCCTTCTCCCTTGTCCACTCTCGCTCCCGCAGCTCGGCTCGCCTTCGTCTCTCTGTGCCTCGGTTAGCGCCGGAATAGTGACAGCATGAGACACGAACTAGTGTGAACTGCGTCCGTCGAGCGCGCGCGTGCGTGTATATAGTGGCGGTTCGTCAGACAGCGGGGGGGGGGGGGGGCGAGTGGGGGTCTGCCTCCACGCGTCTGCTGCGGTGGGGCCCCGGTCACCGGCTGCCACCTCTCCGTTCCTGAGTGCCCCGCGAGGTGCTGATCCGCTGATCCGCTGCTGACTGCGGCTTGCCTGGTCCCCAGACCAGCCGGCGCCGGTGCTGCCACCTGCCGGCGGCTCGCCCGCAGCGCAGAGCACCTCCGTCGAGGAGATGCGCTCGGCCGTGGTCGCGTCCGCCCAGTATGACCAACTGTACGCCGGCGTGCAGCACGACCTGCTGATGGAGGAGCACGGCTGCTAGACTGACGAGGCCTGAGCGGCGCCGATCTGTAACTGTCGTGCCGTGACAGGCCTGTCACGGGGTTGGGGGGCTTGCTGCGCGTGTGACGCGACGGCGGTGTGGAGCGCCTCGCGCTGGCTTCAACTGCACTGCCTTGGTCCTTGTATACATCTCCTGCTGTCGCCTCCAGTGGCAAGTGGGTGGATGGAAAAGTGCTTTGTGCTGCCAAAAATAGATGACTGTCGTGTGCCAAGTGTTCGGAGACACCTGCGACGTGTTACGGAGGTGAACCTGCGATCCACGGAGCGTTTTCAACAAGAGCTGGGTGTCGTCTTCGGCCAGAATATGTGAGTGTAAATAATGTGCATTCTGAGTGACTTCCGGGAAGTTCGCGGTGCTTGTGCACAGCCGTACCGTTCTGTAATCGTGTGTTCTCTTGCTCTGATCTCGCGAGACCTCTCCGGCGAGGACTGCCGGTGGTCGCCTGCCATTAAACCCATCGCTCGTTCCTTTTTGTGTGTTTCTCGAACTTCGTTTGCTAAGTTTGCCCTGTCTCGGGTCCGACGGGCGATGGCCTTGTCCTTTTCTGTCGCGCCGGGACGCGCGCTGGTTTGTCGCGTGGGCCGCGCTGGTTTTGTTCGGTAGTGTGTCGCCCTTTGGTGGGCTGGGTTTGCTAGCGCCCGTCACCATCGCTCGCCGGCCCAGCGCCGTGATCTGGGCGGCACGCCGCACGCTTGTATAGCGTTTTAGTTGTCTGCCGCCTCTGCTGCGGTGGTTCGTCTGCGTGCGTGTGTTTAGTCCAGTTGTGATAGTGTGCAAACGGAGGCCACCGGTCGCAGCAAAACGCAAAACGATAGTGCAAGCTGACGAATCATCGGCGCCGAGCTGTAGCCCAGTTTTGATATCACCATGCAAATACAAACTATCTTTCAAAATGTGATTTCAACCCGCACCAGATTGGCTTAGGTTGGCGTCGCGGATTGGGCATATGAAATAACTGGAGTGTGATGGTTTATTCTTATGACATCTGAGGTACAATATTAAGCGTAAGTTGCATTCAAACAAACAGTTGTGCTTCGCAACAAGCAATACGACATGCACACACAGACACGCGCACAACGCTGTCATGAACTACCGGGAAGCACAGCTCGTAGCCGGCAGTCCCGTAACCAACCAAGCCCCAATCATGGGGCTTCTGAATGACAGCAGTTCGATCTCGAATGCGAGACACATGAGCTGATATTCGGGAATATGGCTTGTTGGGGCGCCGGCACGCGTCGGGCGACAGTGGCAGTGGTCAGCTGACGCCCCTGCCCGAGACGAGGTGACCTGGTGCTGCTGCCCCGGCCGACCAGACCACCACACCCATAGCATCACCAGCTCTCGCCGCACTCAAGACTAGCGTCGTCAGCGAACAGCGACGTCGGCGGCACGACTCGCCGGCCAGACAGTCAGCGGTGGCCAGCCGCGTCGCAGTACGGGTGGGGGCACGCGCCGGGCACGCGGTGGGAACGCGAGACCTGAGATCGGCGCGTTTAGTACTCCCCAACAGTGACAGAACTATCGGGCACCGGTCGCTGGTGATCAGCAGCACCACCCGCCGGTGACCGGCACATTGGGCGCCGGTCATTGGTGACCAATATCCTCACCAGCCTCTGCAACCCCGCCGGATTGGTAGCGCATGACACACACATTAATCGGCAGCACCAGTCTGTCGGGAGATGGTGCGGCAGCGTGAGCACACGCTGGCACTATACGCCGCTGCGGCAGCGTCTCAATGCCGACAGCGCGACAGGCCAGAGGGGTCAAATCAACACTACATCCCGGGGCCCGCTTCGCCGCTCTGGGTTATTTACGGCCAGCCGGTCACACACTAGGTTTTGCTATTTCCGAGCACAACGGCGGCTGCTGGGCAGTGGGTTCAACTGACCGAAACAGGGACAACGAGTGAGGGGCGGTGGGCCTGAACTGACCTGATTAGACCATCAAACGTGACGCGTGCAGTGGGCTACCGTTCGCCTAACGGCGCGGTTGTGTACGAGGTCGACGTCACAGGCTGTAGCTAAGGTCGTGTCATTATCGAATTTGTTTGAACTGTTTGTGCTCGAAGCCGTGTGGAAGCAGTTGGGTCTTGGTGTCAAAATTTTCAGCTTGCTCCAACATTTTTTCTTCTCGTTCAACTCGCTACGGCGCATCACATCCAATACACACAACAAGGTACAGCGGTTGACTATGCGAAGTTCACAGAGGTCCCATGAGGCCGTTACCAACGTTGATACGTCTTCGCAGACTAACATTCGACATCTTGCTTTGAGGTTGTTCTTATGATTGCCATTGCGTGCCAGTTGTCTGTTCGGACCCACTGATGGACAGCGAAACAAAGGCACCCGTCCCATGCCCGAGGACGTCGTCAGAAATGCACCTCTGTCACGTCTGTCGGTGTCTCGGCCATACTATATTTCGTATTTTCATCACTAGATGTCGCCCCGCTTGAACCTGCTGCGTTGTTGGCATGCTCTTCTGTGAACTCGCGGATCGTCTCTTCAATTTGATCCAGGCAGCTCCGCAGCAGGTCCTGAAAGCGAGGGATTTGCCAATTAACGTCCAGTATTTTCTCGTTTTACATTTACGGAACATTTCATACGTGGGCGGAAGACCCATTCTTAATCGCCCTGACGCCCTCGTTCAAAAATCACACGTGCGCACACATACACCCTACCAGTCCACACGTCCTCGTTCCATCCTGCATCCTCGCAACAACCCTACCCACCGTCAGCACGAGTCGGTCTCACAGCCGTCCTTACGGGACTGTCCTCGCGGGACTGTCCTCACTGGAGCCCCGCCCGGGTTCGGCACACAACCCAACGCCTGGTCCCTGGACTCAGTGTAAGCCTTAGTGGCGACACGAGGGTGGCAGCCCAGCAGGGCCGCAGTGCTGTTTCATCTGTTGCCTTTCCCCCATATTCCTGTAGCTCTGCAGTGACTTATGACCGGAAGAACTCTAACCTAACAAGTAAACCAAATGCAAGAAATGCCGTAGTGCCATGTAAAGTCGTCAGTTCCATAATCTCCACGAATGCCTGTTCATATACAAACGCACCGTCGTTAAATGTACCTGCTCCTAACTCGCAGAATATGCCGTGTTTGCTCGGTGCTTTTTTCCACACAAATAAGACAAGCGCAACGGGAGAACAGCATGCTGGTATCGTGCTGTTCTCACGGTTATGCGGACCCCTCGTTTACCGTGGGCTATTTTGACCGCGACCTTTGTTTTTGACCGTGACCTGTCCAGAGGAACTCTTCCGATGACCGCGCGGGTAGCTGTCTGAGACTGTCGAGGAGAGCCTGTTCTCTGACTGCGTGTCTGTCTGTGCCCCGGTCCAGAGCGCCCAGAGGATGTCTGAGACTGTCGAGGAGAACCTGTCCTCCGACCGTGTGTCTGTCCGTGCCCCGGCCCAGAGCGCCCAGGGCGGTCAGCCTTCATCGCATCTCTCCAGCCGCTCATTGGACGGGGCTCGTCCGGTCACCCTTGACAACCCTCCCCCCTGACCGGCTGCGGAGGGGGGTGTGGAGGGGGGGGGGGGGGGCGAAGGTGGGTGGGGCGTCACGCCGCCAGACCCGGGGCTGGCCGGCCGGCGGCCACTACGCTCCGGCTGCCGGTCGGTGATCGGAGAGGAAGTGTACCCATCCGACAGGCAGGAGCATCGCGCCATCTCAGAAAAGTCGAAACATGCAGAGATGCCACTGGTACGATCTCATAGCAGTGGCGTCCCGTTCTGACGCGGTGTCGAATTTACCGGGAGCAGAACTGACATTACGGCCCTGGTGCAGGCATGAGTGCAGCCGATGGTAAGGGAGTCTCTGCTACGCGGTCTGAGGGTACGGGAGACTCGGCTTCTTATTATGGGTTGTCACCCTCTTCTCCATTCAAGTATAGTCACGAATGTCCTGTTTTCATTCATCCTCCTGAATACCGTCCCCAAAACCACTGAGCACCGAAGCTGCCGCCAAACTGCCGCTCCGGTGCGATCCTCGCAAGACGGCTACATTCTTGTGATCTTTGAACCGAACGCTCACTTCACTCCATGACTATGAGGAACAAGCGTGAGCAGTCCCTGGACCAGCAATCCATTCACGGATGTAGGGATGCGGTGCAGCGTTTCAAGCCCGTGGGAACGTCTCGTGCGGGGACGGGTGGTGGGACCAGTTTGCTGGACCGGGTGAACGGCTCTGCCGAAGGCCAACACCGTCATCCGCTAAAAAACGACATGGCTCGTTCCTCTTCATTTGTCTTTGCCAGCAGAACGACTGCGGACGACTCGTACGGTGAGAGTCCATTGACTCTAAAACGACCGCCCACGGTTGCGAAGAGCGAAAGTTTTTACGCCGTCTGTTCACGAGCGGCCGGCAGAATATCAACAGCGCGTTGGCGGCATGACAAACGCATGGTGGCTTACTCAAGATGAAAGGATCGGCCAGAGTTTCCGCTGTTCTTAAGCGGGACCTCCAAATCTGCTTTAGTTTCCTTTTTTAGATGGGTTAGGGCAGGGCTTTTTTGGCCGTCGCAGTCAATTTCTACTGACGGGATTTAAGCAGAGAAGTAAAAGTCGGGTCCTGACGCGACCACCCTGCAAGTCATCTCCCGCAGCGGGACTCCACGCACAAGGAGCCCAAATCAGGCCCGTGCGGACGCTGGGGTGGCGCTCGCACCAAAGCACCCGCGAGGCAGGTCCATCGCTGACGGTCAACACATGCTCGCCATGAGAAGAGACTCCGGGGTTGCCCAGCGTGAAACGATGAATCCCGGTACAGGGGTGCATGTCGGCGCTGTGTCCCTTTAGCGACCATGTGTCGCATGACGTCGTGTCGCGTCCGACGTCAGAGTTTGCGAAGTCCCTGTGAGAGTCAGGAATGTTGTCCGACAATGACAGAGTGGTTACTTGTGAGGCGCATTGCCCATAGACGCTATGGTATAGTCACATTACACAGCAACAACATTGTTAGATGACTAATGCCCATGTGTTAAGAGTTACATCACGCGTGTCATAGGCCATTTTAGGTGTGTGTGTGTGTGTGGTGTGGTGTGTGTGTGTGTGTGTGTGTGTGTGTGTGTGTGTGTGTGTGTGTGTGCGTGTGTGTGTGTGTGTGTGTGTGTGTGTGTGTGTGTGTGTGTGTGTGTGTGTGTGTGTGTGTGTGTGTGTGTGTGTGTGTGTGTGTGTGTGTATGTGTGTGTTCTCACAGATGAACATGTTTTACATCGAGGCACTCATAAGTCGTTCGCGCGTTTAGATTGTTAACAGCGGCGCCACTCCCTACTGTTTTCTTGCGGCCGTCAACAGAAAATTGCCCCATTCATCTCAGCATTAGCGTGGGACGACACTGTTTATTTTCAATGAAGCTGATGCAGGCGTGGCTCCACGACAAAAGGGCGGCGAGCCGCCTCGCCGATCTTAAAATTAAACATTTTGCCCTCAAGGCGTTGCATGGAAAGAACATCAGCTGATTTGAATCATCATCAGCTGATTACTCAATCCTCAGCCCTGAGTGGATCGAGTGTTGGCCAAATGAATGGCACCCAGACAATGTTATACTATTTCCGTATGTGAGAGCATGTGGATCGCATCCCCACCATGCGCGGTGTCTTTTAAGCTTCCAGACCCCTTATGCTCGCCCCTGGCGTCCTGAAATGGGTCACCAGCACGCCGAATCATATCCCTGCCACACCGTCCGCACCAAGCCAGCATTTCAACCTTTTCACGAGCATTTGGGTCAAGATCACTCTCACTGGCGCGTTTTGCAACCTCCTCACTTAGTGGGTCCAAAGGGCAAACACTTTCTCGGTAACCCTAGAGGGGTGGGAAATCATTACAAAGCAGGGCAGTCCGGCACCCCAGAGCTCACCCTCCTCTCCCCTCAGTATACGTTTCGCCTTTTTCCCTTGTGTTGCGCGGCCACCTTTGAAACAGCCCCCACACCCCCGGCCAGTGAATAATGCTCCTGTTAAATTTCATTAGCGTTTTATACCACCGGACAGAAGTTATATATCGCAGCAAATCTGGCAGGGTGGAACAAGCGGGGGTGTTCTAATGAGCCGCGTTTTTGGCCAGTGTCGACATGTGCAGTTTATGAGGAGACCGCACCGCGGTGCGTCAACCGCATCGCAATGGCGGCGCTTTACATCCGAAAACAGGGTTCTGCTCCATCCCCTTCCCTCGCGCAACGTCCATGCCAACCCATGCATAAACCAATGACACATGAGGTGCACCCGGCGATTGCGACAGCGGTGGTTCACGACCAGCGGGCCTGGCCCAGGCAGCTACATCGGCCGTCGCCCGTCGGCGCCGGTCCCAGAATGGCTCGGCTGACATCACTGACCGTTTCGACGGCGGTGATGCGGTGCAGCTGACTGAAGATGTCGCTCATGGCGGCCTCCCGCCGAGCCGGCAGCAGGCCCTGCACGGCCGCCGCCAGGCTGGCCGCCGCCACCATGCTCGGCGTGTGGATGCTGAACTTGAACTCTGCCGAGACAGCAACGGACAATGGTCAGTCACATGCAGTGTTTGAGGCAGGATATTCGCGGGGTACATGGAGGGCGCTCCAAGGGCATCGTGTGGGACTGCACGGTTTGACTCCGACCTGGCGGGCCAGTCTGACCCAGGGCGGATGGGACACACTGTCCAGCAGGAAGGCCGCTCCGTGTGTACATCTGTTTGGCTCAAGAGACAGTTGAGAACATGAGAGGAGAATTAGACAGATACGGCTACATTTGAAATCGAAAAAAGATATCTTTTTCATATTCAAAAACGTACTGTAAGCCCTGGTAAGACCCCATTCAGTTTCAGCGCCCTCCCCACCCTATCTCATTTACGGCATGTCATATCTGGCCCGGACGCTGTAGACAAAACAGGTCGGCGGCACGTTCTCCCCTCCCCTCTCTGGCTTCCGGCGCGGTGGCTGCAGAAAAGCCCCCGCCCCCTCGCGCCGTCAACACGCCTCTGTTTGATGTGCGTTTCCCGAGCGGGTCGGTACACACAGATTGGCGATAAGGTTCATTCATTCGCCGCCGCTCCCACGAAAACGCGCCTGACCGCGGCCGGGCGGCGCCAGGATAAGTGTGCGTTAAAGAGGTCATCTCTCGCGCGCGATCAGCTCAAACGCGGGCGGTGATTGGTTGAACAGCTCACATCACTTTGTCCCGCGCCGTGCGGCCCGCGCGGTGTTGAGATTAACGAGCCCCCGGCCGCAGTTCGGAGCCCAACAGCTCGGACATTCCTCTGGTCGCCGCGCCGGGCATTTCCGTTGGGGGGGGGGGGGGGGGATAGGGATCTGGGGCAGGACCGGTTGCCATTCCAGGTATTTATCTGGGATGGGGAAAGGGGTGCCCACTTGATGTTCCCGCCAATTTCGGCCGTTTGGCGCCAGTCGCGTCGCCCGACTACGCGCCGCGCAACTGTCCTTCCCGACGCCCGAAGTCGAACGAAAATATGCGGCGAGAAAACAAAAACAGTGTTTGTAGAGGGGCGAGGGTGAGAGTGGACGTCCCGAGGCTGAGGTGACCACCGCCATTACCACCGGAGAAATAACAGTTGAGCTTTCACACGGCCACTCGAGTGATTTCGGCACTAAGGTCGTGGAGTGTCACACTGGAACGAGCGCTCCAACTCTATCGGGACCCGAATTGCTGTAATGGTGTCGGTTTAAACGAGTCACTGGATGTAGGGTACCATTAGAAGCGATCAGGCGGGTAGGACTACCAGCTTCCACGATGGCGAACCGACTGGCGAAGACCACCATCAGCTTCCATGAGCGGTTTACTGATGACCGTCGTGTTAGCGTAAGTGTCGCGTAACCCACCAACTTTGGGCGCCATCCATTTTAGATCGGAGCATCTCCTGACATTGTGAGAGGTGTAGTGAGATGGAGTGGTATCGAGCCATGCGCACCTCAGCTAAGTTCTCCAAGGATCGGAATAATGACTCAATGATGGAGGATTTCTGTGTATGCAGGAGTCCGGACTGCTACGATCCAACTCGAAAGCATGTCATTTACGTTAACAGGGAGCTGTTAACGCCAACTGCATTGCAGTAATGCACAAAGCGACAACACTAATGCTTCTTCCAGTTGCGTAGGAGGGTCCAAAAAGTGTAAGGCCAGAGCCACTTCTCAAGTCAAGCCAGATCCGCGCATCCTTCACCGTTGAGTAGATGAGAAATCTTCATGAAACGTGAGGGGAGCCTCCGCCTGCGTGCTCTTTCGCCTGTGCCTTGCACGGTGACAGTTCCGTGGCACACCGCTGAGCGGACCGGGTGGCCACGCTGGAGAGGGGTTGGGGCCTCTGCAGCTGAGTCACCGGTGTGCGCACGGCGGCCAGCGCGGCCCCGCGGTCCTGCAGCCGGCCGTGCGAGGACGAGTGGTTGGCGGGGTGGAGGGCGGGCTCGCGTTACCCCTTTACCGGCCGTTCCCACGGGGCGACGGTGACCCAGTGCCCCACACGCGGCGGCGAGCGGGCCGACAACACACCGGCGGCCGTCCGATGGCCGCCCGCGCCGGACCTGACGGACGTCATCGGCGGCCGCACTCCGTCAACAGGCGGGGCTGCCGCGGCACGGCCGGAGGAGGGGTGCAGCGGGCGCCGCTGCCCGGCCGCCCGTGAGCAGAGTGCCGCGGTCGAGCAGAACGCCAGCAGAGGCAGCCGTAGAAACTGTGCCATCGGGGGTGAATGGAGAGCCGCAGGTTCAATGGCGGTCCGGAGAGGACAGCGCCGCAGCCTCGGCCCGCCGGAAATGCCCCGGCATCCCTGCTCGCTTGGGCTTTGTTCCTCTGCGTTTGTAGAAGCCGTTTGCCGACGGCTGAACACCACTGGTCCGCAGAACAGCTGTGTCACGACGTCACCAGCGGCTCTATCGCCATCGAGGTCGGTTCCCCAAGAACCTACTGTATAAGAACCTGCAGAAGCCCTTCGACATCAGGAGCAGAAGAGCGGACCGCCAGCGTCTTCGGCAAGCTGAGAACCGGCTTGACGGTCTAACATGCCATGCAAGTTCAATGTTCCACCAATGGAACGACTGGCCAGTGCCGTGTTGAAAATATGTCTAATGCGATATAAAAACACTAGCGCAAAGATATGTCAGCCTTCTTCAGATTGAACTACGAGTCTGTGCCACTGAAACCTTTGTTACACACCTTGTAATATCATCGTGATGGTGTGGATATTTTACTACAAAAATTTACAATCTTTAACATGATAGATTACACAATCGCTTCGCTGCATTGTACATTCTTAGAACGCTGTACATCCAAAGCGACAAAGTTGACAGCATTTTTATAAAGCTAAGATGTCATGATATTTAATCTGACGTCAGCGAACAAAAGGCTGCTTTCATCTCAGACGCACACATCATGAGTGCGGGCTAATCTACCGAGCGAATTGGCGTTAAGACGGTGTACCGGTGACACATAACATCCAACGCCGTACCACCAGCACCGTTTGAAGTCTGGATGGCTATTCCTGTAGCCCGGCCCCAAAGGCGTCAGCAGACAATTACGCGTTGTTTAGCTCTATTGACATGGGTCTCGTGGGACGGACAACTTTTGAAGTTCCCGAGCCCTCGGCGACTGGCACCAGCCTACAGGTCCCAGTGGCGTATGAGAGGGACGTGCATTGATCGATGGTATCCAGGCTTACCACTCACAATCTACTCTTGTTACTGTCTTGACGAAAAGTGTTCCTGAAGGGTGTTGGCATCAGGTGTGAGCGCCGGGCCCTTTGACCACCTGTCTCATTTTGACCGGCCATGCACACGTAGATGCGTCTGGCTCTATCGATCGCTCTCTTGCAGGGACTGGGACGGCACTGGCCTCAAGAGACAAGAGAACAGATACGGGACAAGAGAACAGATACGCGGTCTACGCGCGGGCGACGCGTTTCGTCCGGCAAATTCGTCACATCGGAAGCCGAGTGGAACAAAAACCGTACTAGACCGCCGCCCGCGCCGTCAGACGGAGGAGACGGCGACGGCGGCCCCCCAGCCCCGGAATTAACCCCTTGGCCCCAGTCGGCTTTTTTGCAACGCACCCCTTGACCTTCAATATTGAAATAAATCCATCACACCACGGCGATAGATGGTGGAACGTGCGACCTACCGCAAGTCCGCGCCCCACCCGTAGACTGTGAAAATGAGCCGAGCAAAAAATCAATTATGGACGAGTTTTGTGCAATCATTTTCGGTCGCAAAAAGTGAATGTGCTCTCCGTCTACGAGCCCAGTCAGGACCGGCGGGCAGACAGCCTTGTGTTTTTACCGCACGTGTCTGCGTTTTTTCGCCCGCTCTCCCTCTGACGGGCATTTAACTCGCTTCGGCCAGGACCGTGGACACGCGTATCCACTGCCGAAATGAATGACCTTTCGCGCCAGGCCGGGGCCCAGATTGGATCGCGCATTCCCGCCAGGCGCAGTTTTTACGGCGGCTCCCTCCCCTTTTTATCACCGCTTCGCCTGCCTAGTCGGGGACACACGAGCCGACCGTGTTAAGTGCGCCACAGTTCTGGGCACGACGTGTCATTAGAACGGGCGTGAAGGCGACGTATTCCATTTGTAGCCGTAGCCAGGGCTTGACTGAACTGTTTCTGGGCATGAACACCGCAGCGTGACTTTTGCATCTCTAATGACCTCATTCCAATCCATGCAAGAACTAGTTGGATTTAGCTGGTCGCATGAACTTCACGCATTTACTAACTCGTCGATCATGGCCTCAACACAACAGCGCACGACAACAGACGGTCCAGTGCCAGCCCACGACGTCATCGGCGGCATTGGCCGAGGTCTTAGACGCACATGACTTGGGGAGGAGGGGCCTTGAGCAGGCGGGCTCACGGCCTTCACCGGACATGCTTCCGTCTGTTCCTCACCTGTAATCGGGCCCAGTAATCGGGCCGCGAGACGTAGAGAGCCTCACCCCGGGCCGAAGGCGACTTCTACCCACCCGCTCAGCCCTCGCCCGGATAATTTAATAACCATATAGCGTCACAATAACCCCGTTACGTCACGGCGGGTTTCGCAAATCTTCCGCTCGGCCCCGTGGAGAGCGAAACGCTCATCACTCCCGAAGTCTATTGTTCGCGTCCTTTCGGTCCCTACAGGGCTTCCCACACCGGTTGGGAAACTACACATCGCTCACACAGCCTATTTGGGGCCCACCTCTCGGTGTTGGAGCGACGGAATTTCGGCGACCAGTTGCCAACAGGTCCGGGCAGTTTCGCACAGAGCACAAGGCAGCCCTTCGCATGGAAGCCGACCAACCACAAAGCCACCGTCAGCCGTCCACCGAAGTGGGCAGCCAGCTGATCCCCACCCAGGGAGTCGAAGGAGGCTGCGCTCAAAGAGGTCATTAATTCGGCATCACTCTCCACGTTGAAAGCGCGAGGAACGCAGGGTCGGGCAGTGCCGGTCACGACCGCGCCCCACCGCAGTCCGCGTCGGAAGCCCCACCAGCTCGCGCCTCGGGCACCCAGCTTCCTC